GATCCATTTCTGAAAAAAGGGCCTAACCTTTGTATTCAGCACCTTAATAAACCAAAATAACTAAATTTTAACATATTAAATACATTTATTTTGCAAAAAATATTATTTCCCCCTCAGAATTGGATGGTTCTTTCTATTTTTCTAATTTTGGGTTCCTGATTTAACCACAGCTTGTCTTGTTTTTTTTTTTGTGTGCCTTTTTTCCAGCAGGGACTGTGCTTGTCTCTGTTTGCAAAGTCAGGAGGATTAAGAGGAAACAAGGTTGCAGAGGTGAGTCCTCCATCAGACTCTAGCGCCCCCTGCAGACGCTCTAGAAGCACCTACACACCCCTGGAGCAGCAGGTCATGGAGCTGAAACAACAGCACAAGGATGCATTATTGGCAGTGGAGTGTGGCTACAAATACAGGTTCTTTGGAGAAGATGCAGAGGTGGGAAATTGAACATTGTGGTAATACATAAGTAACCAAATGGAAATTTAGCTCCAGTATTTCTTTTTCTGATTTGCTGGAGGTGGAGAGAATAAAAATCAGATTTAGGTGGAGTAATCATTCGAATGCTTCCATTTAAACAGATTGCTGCAAAAGAGCTGAATATAATTTGTCACTTGGATCATAACTTCATGACGTGCAGCATCCCCACTCACCGCCTGTTCGTCCATGTCAGACGTCTGGTGTCTCATGGACACAAGGTATCAGATAGCTGTTCTATAACGTTTTCTGCTCTCCAATCCACACTGTTAGCAGAGATTGTTTTGTCTTATGTCTCCTGCCTGTCGTTATTAGGTTGGTGTTGTGAAACAGACAGAAACATCTGCGCTGAAGGCCTCAGGGAGCAACAGAAATGCTCTGTTCAGCCGTCAGCTTAGCGCCTTGTACACCAAGTCCACTCTGGTGGGAGAAGGTATTCTTACAGACATTGTCTTTCTCTATATGTCCTTCAAATTGTTATGCCAGCATGTCTTGGAGATGACCTTGACGAGGTATTATTTTCAGACGTAAACCCGGTATGCGGAGTGGCAGATACGGAGGAGGGGGGCTCTGCAGATGTAGTGTTAGACCCTCCTGACAGCTTCCTGCTGTGCATCAGTGAGAACTGGGACAAACTGAAGAAGCAGCTCTCTGTCGGGGTGGTGGTAAGTCGCATTAACATAAACTACAACTGAACACAAGCAACTTGGTATTATGTCCAACAATTTTAAGCATACTGATACTGAAATTATTGGAACTCTAGAACTGTAAGAACATTTTAGCCATTCCTTTTTCAGTTAAATAAAAACAAAACAAAACAATGAAAACAAATTGTTTGGCCTCAGGGATGCAAATGTTCTTCTAGTTAACATAAGTCAATGTTTTATAACCTCAGTAGTCTGTGCCAATAAAACTCAAGTTTTCTCAGCTGTGAAATATATATTCCTAACCTATCAGGATGGTTCAAAAGAATGTATTTTTGAAATATTAAGTTTGAGATTTAGTCTTAATTCCACATTTATAATTGAAAATGCAATAAAAGAGGTGCAGCGGCGCCACAAGGGCGTTAACCATGCCACCCATGTTTTGAGTCCTTGGTCCTCGAAGCAGCCGTCTCAGATTGGTGTCTCAGCCTGGTGACCTGTGCTTAAAGCTACAGTGTGTAATAATTACAGGGATATACAGTCAGAAATTTTATATATTATACATAACTATGTTATTTATCATCATCTACGAGCTCAGCCTCTTAAAGGAATAGTACACCCAAAACATGATTAGCCTTCATTTTCTACTCACCCCCATGCTGAACAACACTCTGGAGTACTTTTTTGATATCTCAAATGCATCTGGAGATCTGGGAGGCTTCTTGCTGTCTGCTGACATTCAAATAATGGAGGTCTATGGTGCCCGAGGCAGAAAGGTCCATAAAAGTCCACAAAAAACGTGTCAATATTCCTCCATACTGCTCGTCCAATGTATTCCAAGTGTCCTGAGTGGGTAGCATCCAGAATTTACTCGAAACAAAGTCATTTAGAATGTTTTTAGAGCATAAACAGTAGTGTATAGGATTTCTTAAAAGCGCGCGCCTGCGAGTTCACGAGCCTACGGAAACCGCAGCAGACCAAACCAGATGAAAGTGCGCATTCAGCTCGGCAAAGAACTCATGCTCTTCCTCAACACTGAAGTCCTCAGACATTTTTCTTTCGTTGTTTCTTTCTTTGCACAGGTAAACAGCACATTTCTTCTTCTACGCTTGCATTATCGGCAGAGCAGACGCTGAATGCGCACTTTCGTCTGGTTTGGTCTGCTGCGGTTTCCGTAGACTCGTGAACGCGCTTTTAGGAAATCCTATACACTACTGTTTATGCTCTAAAAACATTCTAAATGACTTCGTATCGAGTAAATTATGGACGCTACCTACTCAGGACACTTGGAATACATTGGACGAGCAGTATGGAGGAATATTGACACGTTTTTTGTGGACTTTTATGGACCTTTCTGCCTCGGGCACCATAGACCTCCATTATTTGAATGTCAGCAGACAGCAAGAAGCCTCCCAGATCTCCAGATGCATTTGAGATATCAAAAAAGTACTCCAGAGTGTTGTCAGCATGGGGGTGAGTAGAAAATGAAGGCTAATCATGTTTTGGGTGTACTATTCCTTTAACCTTAATATTTGCGTTGCCTTAGAATTCGTTATTTATAATTACATAGGAGCGGGTCTCGCAGCCATGGAGGCAGACATCTTTGCGCTACGGCAGCGCAGAGCCAACAAACTAGCGATTGCGAGATCGCCCATTACGCTCGAAAGTAACTACGGCAAGTTGAGAGAGATGAACTGAGACGGTACTGAACAATAGATGGCATGTATGTAAACAAACCTCATCACTTGAGAAGGTAGGTGATGCGGACGTCGTGGAAGACATTTTGTCCCGTAACGCTCGCCGTACTGTTGGGGGGGAGAAGCGGTGGGGGGGAGATGTTCATGTTGCTGCATGCTGGACGTTAGATGTCGCTGAAAATTACACACTGTAGCTTTAATGACTTCCCCCCTTGTAATCTACCTACAGCTAAAATTAAAGATTACTACCAGCCCCCAAAAATTTATATTGTTTTTCAATTTAACCGTATGTGAAGTTGTTAATTAATGCTGTTTTTTTTATACTGAAATCTTTATTTGCAGATTTATAAGGCAACTGGATAAAAAGTAGTTCAAGAAAATCAAACAAAGTTTTTTGATTTTCAAATTTAGAAGTAAAGATGAATATGAATTGTTTATGTTAAGTTAAATCTGTGACGTGTTAATATTCATATTTATTGATTTGATTATGTCAGTAATTAAATACATGACCACAGATATCAGAAGTACAACTAAGAACAAATGCTGAGTAAAAATTAGATTTTGCTGTGTTTTTTCAGTAAATCTTGTAAAAAACTATACAATTGAATAAATATATACCTAACTTTACAAATTATATTGTTGTTTGAGTATATTTTGTCCAAAAGTTGGGAAATATCTGATTGTCTGTGAAGATTATTAGTCATCCAGGTCAGAGCATCTATGGGCCATGGAGGTCATGGAGGTCACGGGAGGGTCAGCCAGCTCCTCAGGACCAATCTTAGCTGTTCACCTAAACCTGAAGGCTAAAGGACAATTGTTTGAAGAAAACAACGTCCATATTTTGGCCAAGGAAGACAGATGGTTTGTGAGAGGGGTTTAAGGAAGCCATCTTTGTTTACCTGGAAAATGGTGCATCCAGTAGAAGTGATTAAAGATAACTTTTTTTTCCACCCAAATTCGTTTGTTACATCTACAGTATATTACTCTGTGTTCCCATACACTAGTTAGAAATGAAGAAGCCTCTTGGATGAAAGGCTAAACGTCTTCTAGAAAACTTCACGTCTAGTTGCCTAAACTTAACTTTTCAAGCTTTATCTGAATAGACTGAAATGCTATCATATGCTGATTGCATGGGCGTGTTCTTCACTACATAGGGTCTTAAGGCAAATTTTTTTATCATCACATTCACTGAGAGGAAGGAAGAAGTTAATTCATACACCAATTTTCAGGATGGGGTCACCAGGTATTTCGCAGTGTAAAGAAGGACTGAACATGACCTGTGAGCTAAAAACTATGAACATGTCATATTGCTGAAAATATGCAAAACAAAAAAAATCCCATTTAGGTGTTAGTGTTGCATTCAAGACCAAGTCCTTATATGGTCTTATCTTGGTCTCGGTTGGTGTAGACTTGACGAAAACACTAGCTGGAGGTGAACGATAATTAGGAGAACTGAACCAAAGCATGGTGTCTCTGTCTCAGCAAGTCTTTCCAGTTCAGCTACAAAATTGTAATGAAAAATAAATGCTAGGCCGAAAAAAAAAAAATTGATCAATTACTGATTCTGAAACTTAAAAAAAAATTATTTTATGAATATAATTATAATATAGATATAAATATAGATTATTAAGGGGAGTGTTGGGTTAGTTCGTTAGAGCCATGTGCTTGTGCTCTGACAAGGTTGCAAGTATCGGGTTCGATCCCCACAGCCTCCTCTCTGGGTTCCTGAGCAAAACCCTTAACCCCACACTGCTCCCTGGGGAACGCACAATTGCAGCCCACTGCATCCCTAAGGGGATGGATTCAATGCAGAGACAAATTTCTCCAACGTGAGATCATTAAAGTTCAATTATTATTATTATTATTATATGATCAAACTAGTTTTCCTGTTTGTAAGCTTCAGTTTTTGGATTTTGTGTGTGTAGGCAGTTCAGCCCACCACTGGAGATGTGTACTTCGACTGTTTCACCGATGGCCCGTCTCGCTCTGAGCTGGAGAGCCGTATCCTGAAGATAAACCCAGTTGAGGTCCTGGTGCCTTCAGACCTTTCAGAGCAAACCTCCAAACTGCTCCTCAGTATTGCTAATGCCAGGTAATCTGCTGTTAGAGCACTAGGGGGCGACAGATCCCCATCTCCTGCATCACAGACTTCTTTTCTGTTGGTCTGAGCTTCAAAAAAGCTGAGCGGCTCTGAGAGTTTGTGCTATTTCATTCTGAGGCATTGTGTTTATATTTCCCCAGGCAGGATGGCTATACGCTGTGGAGCTCTCTGGGCTTAGGGAGGAAATCAATGGGAGCTCAGTTAGCAGTTATGAGATCGGGACTTTAGAGCACAGATCTCAGCAGGTCTGAGATTCATTTGCTTTTTAAGTGTGTCGACAAGTTTTCCTCAAACAGACAACTTTTTAATTTACTTTGCAAGAGTTTTTTATTTTAAAATAAATAGAGTTATAGATTTGTAACACAATATGTCATTCTGTCTTGAGTTTAATTCTTGAGTTTAAGCAAAGTTTAGAGAAAATGCTTGTTGCAGTTACTGCAGAATTAGTAAAGTAGTTAATGAGGTTTATCAAGATAATTCATAGCAATTGGCCTTGTAGAAATAATTAATCTAACACTTTTTAAATGAAGCAAAACCTTTTATTTCAAACAAAGGGTGCAGAAAAATTATATTCCTGACATTCACTTCTTATAAACTTACAATATAAAGGAGCAACAATCAATATTTCACATCAACGTTTAGTCAGGAATGAGCTTAAACACTGTGAAAATATTCTAAAACCGTGAAGCTTAGGCTTTCTTTCACCGCATGAGCCTCAGCCATCCAAGGTTTTTAGTGATTGCATTCTTTAGTCAATGTATGACTTCAGTTTTTACAAAATCAAACTTCTCTTTAACATCAGTGGGATTTATTCTCAGCTATTGAATAAAACGGACAAAGAAATTAGGTTTGTTTTTAATTCTCTGACTGATGCATGGCGAGCACTGCTGACGTTGAGCTGCTTTGTCATGCCGTCCTTCATGTTCACATCGGTGCCGATGACGTCCTCTGGAGGCCGGCCATGACCCAAAATGGTGTAAATATAGATGAGAGAAAGAGACGAAGTGAACGGACTTTACCTACAGTAAGTCAGTAGTTAGACAACCAGGAGAAATGTTTGCCCCTTTCTGCGCCTTTTGTCTTAAACTTCTTGATGGTCCTTAGCTCTTGATCTTCTCCTGAATCTTTTCTGCAGCTGCTTTTTCTCTTTTTTCGTTTTGTTAATAATCATGGTTCCTCTGGGAGTTAACTATCAGATACAAAACTCCTCTTTGGGCTCTTTTGTCTCAGATGAATTTATTACCCATCACCAGCAAATGAAGCTTAATGACAGAAATTTTATCACTAATTATGTCTTCACTGTTTTTAACGATTGAACCTGAGAGAAATGATGCATTGTGCATCACCCTTTCAGAGACAAATGTTTGGATGACTAACATTAAAGGATCAACCCAGGAGAGCGTCTGAATGGAGGGATTTTTGTGGCTGTTGACGTCAGTGTGTTGGTGTTTCTGTCTCCAGGGTGTTATGACGAGACGGGACCCCTGACAACAAGCTTGTGTCCATGTAGTGGCTGGTAATGAGTCCCTGAGAGGTTGATTGTGACTGGGTGCGTTGTTGGTAGCTTTATTCCCTCAGACTGAGAGGGAGCTAACATGTTACCATGAGGTTTAAGGTGACTTAATATTAGATGCAAATGTCCTGAATTTATCAGGACTTAGATAAAAGCATAAATAAAACTACAAATTATTTTTAAAACTGTGTGTTTAAGGGGATTTAATTGTTTTCACCACAGGTGTTAATCAAATCCCTATATCTGGGGCACACATTAATAATGTTCTCTGAGTGTTTCTTACTTAACCATATATTTGGTTTTATTGTTTATAGCTGTCAGAGTGGCCCCAACCATTAATGTGACTGATGTTAAAATATCACCAAATTTCAGTATTGCAATTCATGATAACATGTTACTTCAAAAACACTGCAAATCAATGAAAAATAAGCACTGAGCAGAAACTATTTATGGAATGACAATTATTATGACATGATGATTACAATCATAAGATATAATTTAAGGCCAGAATGTCAAACTTCATAAATGAATTAACAGAATGTCAATGAATAAATATTCAAACTGAAATAAAAGTAAGCAAATTCTTAAATGACCAAATAAATTAATAAATAAATGTATGGCAAACCAACTTGTCAAGTTGCATCTCTCCAGCTGTTGTTAGCTCAGGACAGGTTGGGAGGCGATAACAGGACAGAGAACTGGGCACAACAATTTCCACCTTAGGGAGACTTACATTATTTAAAGTGTTTTATTTATTTATGTTTCTTTTGTATTATGTACTTAATTTATCATGTGAAGGACATAAAAGGGTAGACATGCATTGAAAGAGGGGGATGCATTGCAAATACTGAGGTGAAGCTTTAATATGAAAGGCATAATTCAAGTAAGACTATTAAAGGTCACGTACATGAACAGAATAAAATCTGAAAACACGAGAAAAATATAATGTATTCTTTCATCCAATAGGATGTTGTCAGAAACTTATGTTCTCTCCATTTTAATTCTTCATGTTATACTGACAGTAGGACTGCAACTAACAATTATTTTGCAAATGATTAAGCTGTTGATTAGTTCTTCAATTATAATCTGATAGCAAAATGTTGCTTTTTACAAAATTAAACCAGATGAAACTCAAACTTTTCCACTTGAGGAGTTCTAGAAAGAGCATATTGACAGATGAGTTCTTCTTTGTCTGAATCCAAAATGTTTACATATTTTTCTTTATTAACATTTGATATGATTACTAATCTAAGTTGATTTCTCTGTCAGCTTAAGGCATGTTTTAAAGTCTCTGCACTCTAGTTAACGATTTATCTATTACTGAATTATTCCAACAATCGATTCATCTGATTAATCCGATTAATTGTTTCAGCGCTGATTAACAGTAAAGATAAATGGCTATAATTGGAGCCATTAGCTAATGGCTGTTTGAGTTGCACGTGTGTTTTAGGTCAAATCCCTTTTTTTATGTGAATGTTTGCAATTCTTTTGTATTTTATGTTTTTAGTTCAAAAAATCAAAAAAGAAAAGCAAATCTCAAGACACAATAACCTAGGGTATCTGCAGTTTTCATTTGAACATCTATTTAATTGTTTGAATAAAGATGAACCAGAATCAATTGTATTACTTTTCTGTATAATTTAAATCAGGCTGAGCCTCCCTAAAGGAATCCTCACAATGCTTGGGCCCCACCAGGATTTTGCAGAAATGCTCCTGCAATACCAACCCTGGATCAATAACTGCTTTACTCGCTGTTCTTGTAAATCTTGTAATTTGGTGCAGCTGACTGGTTCAGTGATTAATTGCTCCAGTCTTTTTTTTCAAGCACAATGTGCTATCTATTGATTGGTTTTATATAATCTAAGCTCCTGGACAAACCATTTGTTGAACTGAGATATGATGATTGTGTGTTTGTGCATGAGTGCTGGAAAAGCGAAGAACGGAAGTGCTTCAGTTCTGCGTAGAGAACCATGGCAACAACACGGCAGACAAAGCAACAGAGTCCTTGAGAGCTGCAACACTGAGAGAGTGGATGGAGCAACAGAGAGATATGATGGTGCACCAGGGAGATGCAGAGGAAAATTTGGTTTTATGCCTGACTGAGGCTTGTGCATCACTTTAGAGTCAGCTTTAACACAACAAGGAGCCTCCCTTACGTTTTTCTTAAAAGGAAAACTGAGATTACATATTGAGTGTCTGAGTTCAAATAGTCACAAGCAACACTGCCTTCTTGGATCAATGCTAACATGTGATTGTTATAATAAATTAAGTTTATTGTTGTTGTTGTTCCCCTCTAGTACTCAGACTGATGACCGGCTCAGAGTTGAGAGAAGGGACAGCTCAGAGTTTGAGTTCACGTCTGCAATGAACACAGTTGTCCAATTCTACTGCCATGTCCCTGAGAAAGGTGGATATTTCTTTTCAGCTTTTTTATGTTCCACTTAAACCTTTTACAGCCAGCGCATGTTTCTCTATTTGCTCCTGCTATTAATACCATGACAGCTACTCAGCAGTAACGCTGAATGTGTCTGATAAGCTATGACTCACGGCTCTGTTTTAGTGATGAAACTCTGAACATGACTGTGTGTTTGTTTTTCCTCCAGACTCGCGCTCTCTGTCGACTGTGGCCTCTTTCGAGAGCGCGGTCATCTGCTGCCTTGGGCCCCTCATCCAGTACCTCAAAGAATTTAATCTGGAGAGAGTTCTTCGAAATGAAGGGTACACGACTCTAGATGTTCTCACAGGCTTTGTAACATATTCTGCAAATTTGATGTTTGCCATCCAGAGAGAAATATGTCGTCAGATATTCAGTGTACTTCTCCAACTTAAGGTGATTATTTTAAACACCTTATGGTTGCAGCTTTTACAGGAAAATGTTGCTTTTTGTCTTTGCTGAGCATTACTGTTTATAGATCCTGAGTTAGATATCACTTAAATTTCAAAAGGATTTTTCATGGCCTAACATTTTGATTTATACTTACAAGTAAAACTAAATAATTTGTATTTAATAAACATTACATTAGATCTATTGAATTATGCTTATTCATTTTGCTCCAATTCACATGTAATTCCATTAAAGACAAAGAGATATAATTCCAAACAAGTGCATAGAATCCCATGTAATCAAATCAAATCCAAATTAACTCGGTTTATCCTTAAGTAAAATTTTGTTTTAGAGTGAGCCAAGCGGATTTTATTGAACACTTGCTGTAATAACAATTTATTATCCTTAGCATGACAAAACACAGATTAAACTTGGTTAAAGGTACTTTGTAAAACAAAAGTAAACCTAGAGATAAAAGGGAATAGACGGAGCTGATGGGAGCAATCACTATTGAATGACTATTTCACGGAAATGGATACTGGTGATAAGAATTACCGTAAGCTAGCAGAGATTTGCCTCAATGTTTCTTCCTTAGAAACATGCTGAGAACGGATTACTTTTTAAAAACAAAAAATGATTAATATGCAAAGGTAATGACAGAAATAGGTCTGCTATTCGACCCATCTAGAAATGAAACACAGCTATACACAGAATAACTGAACCATGAGTACTTTCTTTGGGTACAAAAACAGGGACTTTGGATTACTGACTCTTCACTGGCTATATTAGCTTGCACGCATGTTCGTTTTTAGATTTAAATGCAACCGTTTAATTTGGAGCATAAACAGCTTTGTATAACACATATACCCGTAACTTGTTCTTGTTACGGTTTCTTTGATGCGATCCTAACAATACGAGGTATTTTTCACTCTGTGTTTTAATGCCATTCTTTGTTTTATGCAGCTTGTTTCGCCGTTTTTCTTGTGAATCGGAGGGGATGAACCTTAGTGCTGCGACTCTCAGAAACCTGGAAATCCTCAAAAATCAGGTAAATGCTCACCCCATCTTTTTATCATTACCATGTCTCAAGCACAAATAAAATTGTATGTGGGAATAATAATGATAATTGATTTGCTTTAGGCTGTCTTTATATTTGCTTTACGCTTAACATTTGCTGCAAGACATAATGCATTTTGTGTGTTTTTGAAAGATCTATAAGCACAAAATACTGCTTAAGTTTTATTTTATCCCTTCATTCATATATCTGTTAAATTATATTCAGATTTTTTTTTTTTTTTGCTTTTCAATGAAGTCAAAGTTTTGTGCTTGGCATGTCAATCACACAGCTTTACACCTTGTGGCTGGCAATTTTATTCCAGTTATCTTTTGTGGTCTTATCCCCAAATGCTTGGCTGCATTTTGATTAAAGAATAAAATGTTTATTAATTTTTCCTCCCTCTGCATCATAGACAGATGGGAGTGTGAGGGGAAGTTTATTGTGGGTGTTGGACCACACTCGCACTGCATTTGGGAGGAGACTGTTGCGGAAGTGGGTCAGCCAACCCCTCACAGACCTGCAGTGAGTACAGGACACCTTTAAAACTCACTTTCATTGTCTATCACTGGGTTCTGCTTAGAATTCATCTGTCACTTTCACAACTGTTGACAGCATTACAATGAAATTACATTGGTACCTGGGCTAAAAATAATAATAATAAAAAAAAAAACTGGCAAAAAGAGTATATATGAGTATGTTATAGCTTAGGCAACAATAACGGCATATACGTAGCAGTATAAAGCAGTTTAGAAGCTAGTGAGGAGCTTGCATCTATGTTGTATTTATAGTTTTAAAAATACTTTCAAGAAAGTAAGAAACAGTAACAATAAGAGCAATACATATATTTATGAGCAAATTACTAGATTTAGCATAAACATCAGTACTAGAGATACCAAAATGCTGCTGCCAGCATCCTCAATAAGTTGAGAAAATAGAGCACATAGCTCTAAAGCTAGAGCTCTAAAGTCCTTACATCAGATCCCTGTATCTGAGGAAAACTATTTTAACATTTTTGTTAGTCTATAGTTCACTGAATAACTTAGCACTAAAATAAGTTGGAATTGTTGTCAGTGTGTCAATCACAAAGACCTATCAGGTCCTATAAAGTCTACTCTACAGACAAAGCAACTCTGCTTCCAAAACCAGGGCCAGACGTTGAGAAGCAGTTCCTATGCTAAAGTAATCAGGAATCCTATTTTATCTTAATAGAGTGTCATTTGATTGATCTATTATGCTGATAGCAGGGATGTTATTAGTTTAAAGCCTTTTTTTCTTTACCTACCTCTATTATGACATGATGAAATACTTTCCTCTGCTTTCTTTTCTAAAGCTTTGTTCATGTACAACACTTTGAGTTGTCTTGTTTTGAAATAGTTTTTTTTTCTAAAAAAAAAACCCTGCCTTTCCTTAACATACAATTCACTTACTGAACAATGGATAGAAATGAATTGCACATATCTTCATCGTATATATTTCACTTTCAAGCTGTGGGGTGGGGGTATTGCTATGTTATAGAGAGCTGGTGTGTATGTGTGTGCCCAGCTTTTTATTCAGTCCTCACATGAGGGTATGAATGAATTGGAATCTCCTGCCTGCTAATCTTTCCACTTCTTACTGTCCCATTGTTAATCAAAAACTGTATCTACCTCAATCTGAAATTATCCGCATGATCTCATTCTTGTCTTTTAGATGAGGATTTTAGTAATTAGACTCTGAAGCAGTTTTCAATTTCTCTATGTTAATTGTAAATATAATTTTCTCACTATTTAGTTATTTAACAGAACCAATGCCTCGCTGCTTTGGGTTTATTGCAACTATTTTGCCCAGATAATGGGCCGTTTATGCCGCTATTAAAAAGATACATTTCAGTCATTATTTCGATGTTAAAGTTTTGTTGGGGGAAAAAAAAAAGAGCTGCCTAAGGCAGAATCTGCTGCAGTCGCTAACAGGGATGTGCCTCTGGTGTCTTTGTAAATTTACCAGAATACTTTTTTACACCTTTTAAGACATTTACTAGAACAAAAAATTCATGCAATTTTTGGGCTATAGAAAGTATATACTATGTCAAATGTAACTGTAGTGCAAACTGTTCTTTGAAGAGCTGATACTTTTCATAATGTGTAAAAATGAATACATGTAACAGTTACATAATAAGACACATTAGTACATAAATACTAATTGGTTCTTTTTTAGGCTTATCTTAAGCAGAAATAATTTCTTGTTGAAGTTCATTCTTGCAATCAATATAGCATTTTTAAACTCAGCTCTGAAATGTACTTGATGGAGCCAAGATTTGAAAAGTTTCCTGCTTGGAGGATTGTATGATAACAGAATATACTGCACTAATAGGAGTAAAAGTATAGATTCCTCGAGTAATTGCAAATTTAGGGCTTGGTGCAAAAACAATATCATGACAGAGATCTAATCAGTATCAATAAAAAAATACAAATAACGTTTGTGAACTCCAAATCAAATTAGTTATGTTTAAAAAGGCTTAAGGCTAGAGCTTACATTTCCTTATTTTTTTCTAATTTAATGGGTAAAAAGAAAAAAGAAAAACAATAAATATCTATATTGCCTGATCTGAGAGGCTTATATCGTGATAAAGTTTTCAGCTAAAAGGCACAGCCTCATAATTGCAGTTAAGCTTTTCACATTTCAGTATCGATTCAAAACCCTATGAATCGAATTGTTGATTGATGATTAACAAATTTTCTGATATGAGTCAGGTCATACTGAGGAAAGGTGGACAATACAAATGGAAAAGTAAATGGGTTAAGTGCAGTTTTGATACAGTGGCAAGCAAATGTGATAACAGAGATTTCCCTGGTGGTCCGCTGCTTCAGCCTGTGGAGGACCTGTCATCCTCCACCTTGTAGTCATGTATTTTTATTTATTTTTTATTTATTTTTTTGGTGCCACAGTGTAAATGCCTTCTTTTCCTATCCTCTACTCCAGACTTATCTGCTCTGACACGATCATAAGCAAGCACTACAGGGCTGCCCTGGTAGACATTGAGCCACTGAGATCCAAAAAACCTTTGCTATAAAGCCCAGCCATGAAAACAAAAATACTCTTTTATTAGGAGATGTGCAGGGCTGCAGCTTCAGCTTTTCATGGTATTCATCCAAGAAACATTCCTGTCAACCACTGACACTATGAGAAACATGAAATTGTGTAATTCCAGATTTGAGGCGAGGTAGCTCTAAAAGTTGAAACTGAATAAGGAAAAAGCCCTGCAGGAAAGGGCAGCAACTTTTTTGTTTTGTTTTATAAGCCAAAATAAGATGGAATAAAGATGCTGGAGGGTGTAGCAGAAAAAGTCCGTCTCTGCAGAGGGTATAGATTAAACAATGTAGGTTTACAGTTACAGTAGCTTTCCAATTCCTCTTTATTTTGCCACGTTTAAGTTGTTAAGTTTGGAAGGTGTTTTTGCTGCAAGGGAAGAAACAAAAAATCCTGACATTAGCACTGTAACTATATCTGTATTTATACACCTATATCATTCACTAACATTTCTGCAAAATAGTTGGAAGTGGGCCTGTCAGTCAGAGAAACTAGGTAATTTTTTCTACCCATTCCAGCCCACAGTAAATATTCAACATGAGTATCTGTAGCGCTTTTATTTTGACATGTAAAAAAAAAAAAAGACATGTATTATCTCCACCTCTAAAAGGAAAATACAGCATCTTACATTTAGAAGCAATTTACAAAAATGTACTTAAATGTATTCAACTATGTCAAATTCAGAACAAATAACTTTACTAATAATATATTACAGAGCCGATATAGGCGATGTGTAGCTATTCCTTCTTCTGTAGAGCAGCAATAAGAAAATATGTAAAATTTTTGATAAGTACGTTTTAAGGGTTACTCAGCTCTTCTGCCATAAACTACTATATCATGAAATCACTACACCAGGTTTTGGCAGTGTAATTCTATTTTTATGCAGTCAAATTGTCTGTCAGTTCTGTGTTTCTCTTTCTTTGCTGTGCAGGGATTACAGATGTTGATTGGGCACCGCTTTTCAGATTAAACAGATGAGATCTCTGCAGAATGTAGACATCAATCAAATCCAGATTATGTCATGACAGATTAAGTCCTCGTCACACACTGCATATTAGCAAAATGCTCTGATGTTCTGGCACAAAGCTACACAATACATGAATGTTTGACGTTTTGTTCTGAGTACGATGTTCAGGTCACCGTCTCTAAACCCGTTCCAATCTGTTTCTTTGGTGCTTTTTAATGCTCATGTTCGGAGGAATGTTCTGTACTTTTTAATGTCACAGTTATGCACAGTTCAGCCCTATTCAGTTTTTAATCTACTTTTATTATTTTATGTCTTAATTTTCTTCTAACACTTTAAATATATTTAAGTCATCTTCTAACTTAATGGCATCTGTTCCTGCACAGGCACAGATCTGTAAAAGAAGGAAAACTAACTTTGGGGAAAAAGAACATAACTGACTGCATATAAAAACACTAAATAATGCAGTGTTCTGTTTAGTTTACACTTTGTGTATAGATCTTTGCAGCTTAACGCAGATAATTTTTCAAAATCCTGAGATAAGAAAAATAAGCTAAAAGTGGAATTCATAGACATTTTGTTATTTATCTTAATTATAAAAACGCAGAAAGGGCACCTATATGTGACACCCATTTCAGTTAATTAAATATTCCTTTTTTAAATCAAGATTGATTTCCTTCCTCCACTCAATCTTCCATGAACATGACCTGTGCTGTACACAGGTGTTCTTTGAACAGATTCCTCCACCTGAGCTTTGGACCTCTGAGGTTCCTCCAGAGCTATTATGGGCCTTTGGGTTGCTTGTCTGATTAATGCTTCCTTTGCCCAACCTTTCAGTTTTGCATTTGCAGTTGTTCTATACTCTTTCCTAAACCAGCTTTAGCCCTGACCTGTCTGCTGTGCTCATTGGTCTGATTTCTATGAGTAGGTAGAGCTGGAAACCACATATAGAGTCTGCATTATAATTGTTTAGTCTTTCTTGTAAGATTTGTTATATGACTGAATATAAAAACAGGAATAAATGAGGTGATTGTTGGCACTTGAAGCCTCCACTATAGCTGCAATCAGTTGTGTCCCAGTAATTTATAAAGAATCTAATCAGCAGCAATGATGTCAATCAGAGCTGATTCAGCTTTTCTTAAGGTGTCTTTAGCTCCTTGAGTGGATTGAAGGTTTGATAGCTTTAACTCCTCGCCTTTCAGCCTGTCCTTGTAATTTACACCCCTTTTCTCTCTCCTTGTCTCTTGCTTTCTATTTCCTACAGATGTATATCAGAAAGACAAAATGCTGTGCAGGAAATAATGGAGTCAGACTCTCCAACTCTGAACTCTATAAGATCCCTGCTGTCACATTTGCCTGATCTGGAGAGAGGCATCTGCAGCATATATCATAGAAAGGTAATAGAAAACTCTGACATGCATATACTCTAATTTATATATATTTATACACTCATATTCACATTTTTACCCATGTATGCTTTATAGCTTTTCTGTGCAGATCTTGCTATAAAATACCAGAATATATAGTCTTAACAAAACAAAAGGCAGAAAAACAATTATGATTTTTTTTTTTCCTTTCACCTTGTCCATTTTTATGGCAGTTTTGATTTACAGGAAAAAGCAGTCACCTCACTGGCACCTACCTGACTGCCCAACACAATCTCATTTCCCCCAGACCCATCTACTAAATGCCACGATAATTCCTTTTATCTGTATAGTTGTCTATGTATGTGTGTCTGTGTGCGGATAGCGTTGTAGCACATGAGTCTGGGCTTCATTTCTTGTTCTGTGCTCGCATCTCTGTCTCCTTCATTTACCGCTAAAAGAAAATGATGTGATGTCTTTAAACGTGGACACACAACGAGCACACAGAATGGGGCCTTAATTGCCATGTTGCCCCTCTGTAGATAAATGGGTCTGTGTGTAATGGTCCGTGTCTCAATGGCACCATTGACATATTGGCAGGAAGGGCATGCCTGTGGTCTTCTGTTGCTCTCTGTTTGTTTTTCACAAAAGAGCAACAAGGGAGCTGCAGATATGGTACATGCAAACTGCAGCATTGGCTTTAGCTCCGCTGGTATGATTTTCATTTACATGAGGCTTTTGACATGTTACCATGCAATAATATTATTGGATATCCTCTTATCAGATACCATCCCAAGCAAAATATGGATATTATTAACTTTTTTTGAATCTGATGTTGCAACATTGGTGGTGATGACAGAAAATGGAGCTGCTTCTATTTGAAGTGGAATTGTTTTATCTTCATTATAATGTTGATTTGCTGTTGCAAAAACGGTTCACCTTTATGCACAACTGAAGGAGTGGAATCAGCCTTTTAGTTTGTGAGATGCCATTATTTTACACTTTTAGATGCACAAGTCTTCAGTGGGACTGACAATATCAACAATAGTCGTTAGAAATAACCCACCTTCTTTCTTTTCTGTCATCTCGACACTGCCCCCTGTTAGGATTGAACATAAACAACATATAAGTCCATCATTGGAGAGATGCAATAGAAACCAGATGTAACATACATAAAGACTTAAGGTACTTTTTTTTTCTTAAAGTCTAACATTAAAAGAGCAATAAGCTATATTGGCACTCATTGTTTTGGATCAGAACAAGACACAACACACTTTAGTGACAATTCCAAGTCAAGAGAGACCAGTACATGGTGCAGTTAAATTCAATATGACATGTAAAATAAATGATAAATGGCCTGTACTCAAATTGTGCTTTTCCAAGTCAGGAGACTTGACCAAAGCGCTTTACACTACATTTAGTCATTCACCCATTCATGCACACACTCACACACCGATGGTGGCAAACTGCATTATAGCCACAGCTGCCCTGGGGCTCACTGACAGAAGCGAGGCTCAGAGAACCTCCAGTTTTATAAATGCAGGTTTATAATATGATTTTTATTTTGTATATATTTTGATTCCTTGCTAACTTCAAGGCAACATATTTATATTGTTTTTTATTTGAGATGGAAAGAATAAAATGCCTAAGAATGAAATGCTCAGGTTAAAAGATTTATAAAAATAGTTTTTTATTTTATAATCAGTTATTGTAAATTCCACTTTTGGATAATCATCAATAGTTTTGATTGAGAGGGGTACGCATGGTAAGACAAAATGCCCAAAGGGTACACAACTGAAAAAAAAAGGTGCGAGAGGTAAAGGTAAAAATACTGATTACTGGCTGATGAGGCATATTTACAGCTATTTGTTTTAGTCGTCTGCTGCTTTTAAGCGCTTCATGGACAAAGTGCTATAATACGGGTATTATTGAGACTATTTCTGGTCTGGTTCTTTTGCTGGCTGCTCCTCTTTTAGCAAACATAAAATGCTTGGCTCTGATTTTATAACACTGGGAACTCTGGTATAATTGGCTCAGAAACCAGGAAGTAAACACAGGCTACAAACTGCACCACAGCAGTTCCGCTCTGTACTAATAGGTCTGAAATCAGAAAGTTGGACTCAGATACTGTTGATGGAAAGCTCTGGTGTTTATAGTAATTGTTGTTTTCGTCCTGGGTAAAATATCAGAAAGATTTTGGCTAGATTTAAAGTAGTGCTGTTTGCAAAATAATGATTTTATGTTTGTTAAAAAATAATAACAAGGGAAGGTTACATTCTTTAAAAGAAAATTACATTTATGAAGAGATAAATATGCTTTTAAACTACCTGGAGAAGCTTAGATTATAATTTATGTCTTTGTAACTCTTGAGCTAAATTAAAAAACCTTCTGGATGTTTATAATAAAACGCCTCACTGACCTTCTGTTTTGATCTCATCTTTCACAATATTTGCTCTTAGCTTAAGTCAGCCAATATCCAGTGTTGTTCTTGTCCAAGTTATTTTCTCTTTGGTGCAGAGAGTGCAGGATTTGGAGCTTTGGCTTGTATCTTGTCTCAAATTGGGTTATAAATCAAGACTTATTTTAATTTGTCTGGATCTTGTCGTCTGCAGAAATTTCTTATACGATCTCACATGCGCTTATAAAACAAGAGCAACAATTGATAATAAAGATAATTTTTTTACATAATTGTTTTAGTTTTGTTTTTTTTTCTCTTGAGAAATAGATGCAGTGTTGATAGGTTGTATGTTAATTAAATAATGAAGATTAATCGCATTGTTTTTACAGAATCCCATCGTGGTTAACCGTTAACTTAGGAAAAAATAGTGTCTCAGCCATAATGATATCTGATGAATGAAAAGGAACAGATTTATTTGTGTTTACTTTCCTGTTAAAAAAAGTTTCTTTGATAAAATAAATGTTTCTGATAATACTGAGTCATAATGTTGAAAAGATTTTTATTTATTTATTTTCTTCATTTTAAAAGTCTTTCAGCTATCAGGATGGAGGGAGGGTAATGAAATTGAAACAAAAAATGTAGTATGGAACAAATTATTTGGGATTTAAACTGGAGTTTTTTTTTTTATTTGTATTTATTATTATTATTATTATTATTTTTTTTTTTACTCTGATTGGATAACCTTTTACCTGTTGTATAAGTGTGTCCTCTAGTTCTCTTTATCTGGTGTTACAAAAACAGAATAAATCTCCTTTGCACTGTATTGTCCCATACATTTAAACCTTCACAGATCCTTTAAATAATGCCATGTTTGACACCTTGTTGACCTACGAGTCTTTTTGTCTCTATGATTCCCAGTCCTCCACACAGGAGTTTTACCTAATCTGTAGCAGTCTTTCTCGCCTGGGGCTGGAACTGCAGGCTCTGCTCCCAGCTATCCAGTCACAGATCCGCTCCACACTGCTTCGCAGTCTCTTATTGGACACTCCTGACCTGCTGGCTCCGGCCCATGGCTTCCTCAAGGTGCTCAATGAGAAGGCAGCAAAGTGAGTTTACCAAGATTGGATTAATTAAATTGCTAAAAATAATATTCAGATGTTTGCTTTTGAGGTGAACTGATTAGGGAAATTGGCAAATTACACTTTACACAGTTAACCTAAAATCTTTTTATGGCATTTCAATCATTTTTGCTCACTTCATGCATTAGTTTCAAATTGTCCTAAATTCTGAACCAGATAGTCTGTGCTGACTTAATACAGTTTATTTATAATGTCTCATATTATTTACCCAAGTTGTTTCACAGGTGGTAATAATAAACGCCTGCTGATGCTCCTACACTAGGAAGAGAGGTTCAGACTGTCAAACTGGCTTTAAACTGAGGCCCATCAGATTGCCAGAGTGAGGTGCTGCCCACAGCTGTCACATTTGAATTTGGTTTTTCTCTAGGTCGGGAAATAAGACGGAGCTTTTCTCAGATTTGTCCGGCTTCCTGGTGCTGCAGGAAAGGATGAACCAGATCCAGTCTGTCCTCTCTGAGATCCAACTTCACCGCAAAGAAGTCCGGTTGGTGCTGAAAGCCCCCGCACTGGAGTACACTACTGTTTCTGGACAGGAGGTACCACCTATGTGTGCATGTTTGTTTGTTTAATAGAGGAAATGGAAGGTGGGAGGAGAGAAGACCTATTGGCCACATGGGTATAAATTCCAGCCGTTTGTATGTATTGTGTATTGTTTGTCCTGCCTGCTCCACTCTGATTTATCATCATCTTTTCCTCTGATTTCAGTTTCTGATTGAGGTGAAGAACTCACTGTCATCAATTGTTCCACCTGACTGGATCAAAATCAGCAGGTCAGCTCACTTATTGATGATGAAGACATACAATTAGACTCCTTTTGAAGGATTTTCCTACAGGATTTTCATTAGTAAAATTCCGTATCTTTCCAAAGTTAAGTTTTAGTATGATCTCTGCATTTTATATCTGTTTGCGCCGTTTTAATACAAAACGTATAATGTCAAATAAATTGCAGTATTTAAATCCTTTATACCTAAAATTGCACCAAATACAGATTTAAAACACACTTCCACATGCAAAAGAAGAGAAACAGTTTAAATGCTCTGCTTAAAATCTTAACCAACGGCAGTGAATGGCATTGCCTGTTTTCTTTGTGCTAAAACGTTAAAACTATTTTAAAATAGTCTTTAAAAGTTTTTTAATCTTTTAAAAAGTAGGGCCAATTGAATACAAGTGATGCCTTATAGATGCAAAAATATTGTTTTTTCAAAACTTACTTTATTTTTCTTATGGAAAGTGAATAAAGAATAAGTAAACGCAGATTATTTTTTTATTATTTTTTATTAGGGCCTGGAAAAGAAAATTATGCAGTGTTTTTCTAAAGACAAAAACAAAAATAAAAACAATCAAAAGCATCTTAGATTAATTCTAAAGAACTTTAAATTTGCCCATTCCTCTTAAGTTTTTATAGGTCTCCTGTGTTCGATTTATGTGCAATATAAATAAAAAAAATTGTCATGGGAAAATTACTATTTTTTTACTATTGCTATTTTTTTACTACTTTTAAAACTATTTGTCTGTTTAATCGGTTATTTAAATAGTTGTTGTTGCAGCCTTAGTTTGCAGTAATAGAAAATAAAGAAACTTGTCAGTGTTATTTTTTCTAGTTGATTAATTTACATTCGTATTTATTTAAAAAGGTTTACAACCTTTTGCATCAGTTCTGCTAGCCAGTTAATACTGCTGGTATAAGGGCCTCTGAATATAGTATAGAAACATTTATAGACATGTGTAAGCATGTGTTAAAAGTGAAGGGTGTGGCTTGGAACATATTTAAACACATACGAAGCCTAAGACACATGAAATAAAACCCTTTTTAATGAGATCAAGTCATTGCTGTTTTTCAGAATCAGGAACTTAATGTGTGTTTTCTTCCTTTTCCTCTGATGTCCACTACAGCACCAAAGCTGTCGGCAGGTATCACTCTCCGTTCCTGATTGAGCGCTACAAGAAGCTGCAGCAGCTCAGAGAGCAGCTGCAGCTGGACTGCCAGAAGGAGTGGACCCGATTTTTAAAGTACGACAGAGGCAACTGCACACACACTTACTTCTTTTTAGGAATCTAAATGAAATGCTTTTAAAACACATAACAGGTCTTCGGTTCAGAGGTATGCTTCTACAGCTCTCAGCCTGCTAGAATTAGGCTGTTTAAGTCAAGCACCCTGTCAGCACTGTCTGCTCAGGAACCTGTATGCACTGAGCTTAATTTACACTTGAAAATCCTGTTTTCTCTCTCTTTCCCTCTCTCTGTAGTCAGTTTGGGGAGCACTACCACACCATGAAAAGGGCTATTAGTCACCTAGCAACCATGGACTGCCTGCTTTCATTGGCTGAGGTGGCTAAACAAGGGAATTATTGCAGGTGATATCCTCTTATGCCAACCATAAATATTGAAGCACACGCCTGAGTGTATATTTTGTGTGAGTCGGGGACTGTTTGTTACTCTGTGTGTGTATATCTGTGTTTGGCTGGGAGGGGGAGGGGGGAGGGGTTGTCCTGTGTCGTGTCCTATAGACTCCAACAGGCTGTATGTGGGTGTATGCACCGGGCTGAGCACCGTGCTCTGCCAGAACACCAACATCGCTCCCACTCACTCAACACACAAGCATCTTTATAGAGTCTATTTCTGCACATTAGATTTCAGCTTTTTCCTCCATCCATGCTGCTTTTTTTTCAGTGAGCTTCTTTTTAACCTCAGCTCCCCTTAGATTTATTACTTTTACTGTTTTTCAATGTTACTTTCAGTTGTTAAGGATAATGATAAAAGTCTGTGTGAATCTGCAAATATTTTAAAGTAAATTGAGTGGAATTTCCGAAGAAAGCTCTCCCATTGCACAAGTCCACTGTTAAACCTCTCTGAAGTCACAGAGCTCTAAAGTTACAGGTTAATTTGTGTTTGACCCCTAAACTACTTTCATAAGTCAAAGGTCATGGCCAAAGCAACCTGAATTAAAGGGGCTCTGTAATGTGTCAGGATGAGCCTTAGGGATTGTGACAGATGGAAAGCTGCTGCTCCTCTGTCTTATATGGATTCAGTTGAACGTTGTTCACATCTCTAGACTGCGATGCATGAAACTGGAAGTCAGAAAATACATTTAACACTCTGGCTGTGTCCGAACGTCCACCTTAACCCCTCAATCGCTATATAAAGCTGGAACTATATAGTGGACCTTATAGTGAACTTAGCTAACTGACCATTTCCGACAGATGATCACTACTTTTCGCTGTTCCCCGTTGGTCACATAACTCCGCCTCCCCGCATGGTGCCTGCACCATCTTTGTCTTTTGTCGTCTCTGTCAGGTAGCCACAGCTGTAGGCGGGCTGCTGTGACATCAAATCCCATGATGCATTCTGGGATATCTGCTCATCTAGTGACCATGGATGATCACTACTTTTCAAGGTGCATTGTGGGAAATTTCGAGTTGACTACTTTTTCATCCACCAGACACTCATCTAAAATGGCCTAACCACTATATGGTGCCCTATATAGTGGTTAGGACGACATTCGGACACTGCCACTTTCTATTAGAATGACCCTCTTTGACATGTTAAGGAATTTAAGCAGAAGTTGCAATAATTTTATTTAATATTTTTTTTAGAATCTCCTAATATCTCATAGAATTACTGATTGATTAACTTAAATAATGTTTCATAGGCAATTAAAAATAAAAAAGGCTTACTGTGTGAGAGAACCCTTAACTGTAGCTGACTTTAGGAATAATGTGGTATTCTACATATTCTTTACTGTTATCTCAGAAGCTCTTAACTCTCCATTTACATTTATTTCAGACTGCTGATTGGAAAAACAAAAATTTTGCCATCAACTTTTTTCCTAATAGCAAAATTATTTTAATTTCACAACTAAAGGGATTTGCTCAAATTAAATGTTGGATTTCTCTATTAAAAAAGCAGAAACATTGACTTATGCTACTTAATTTAGAGAAAATAAAGTTAAATGTTCTTTTAGATGTTTCGCTGCTTTCCTGTTGTATTTGTCCAAATCTGCTTAAGCATTTTATGGTAAGAGATTAGAATCACCTTCAACTGTTTTTATTTATTGTTTCTATAAATCAACCTTCAATAGGAAAATAGATTAATCTTGATCTGGAGCTTTTTCACCTCATGATTTTTGTGTTCTGAGTTTTTACATATCTACCAAAATTGAATGAAATGATAAAAATGGGGAACTAGTTCCCCAATGGAAATGTTTGTTTTGTTTATAAATAATTCTTCTGTCTTAACAAATTAACAAAGTCTTGACATGTAAATAATCTTTTCTTTATTTATTTATTTTTGGATATCTGTTTACAGTTTTGGTTATGTCACATTTTTGTTTTCCTTTTTTGGTCTAGAATAGGCAAATCTTGAGTTGGGATACTAGTGAGAACTTGACTTCTCTCTTGAGAAGTAAAGCTGTTCAAGATTGTGTCTTTTGTTGTGTTTTAATGATGTTTTAATGGTGCTAACTGGCTGCTCTCTGTTCAGGCCAAAGGTGTGTGAAAGTCGGCAGCAGATTATGATCACTGATGGCAGACATCCTGCAATTGATTTATTGATGGGAGAGCAGAGCCAGTATGTCCCCAATGACACTAGATTACAGGTACTGACATATGCACACAGACATTCAAATAACTCTGAGACAAAGAGCTTTGTACGCCACATGTTCACACAAAGATCCCCTCCTACTGACTTCATCGCTCAGTACTTGAGTGGGTGTAGCTTAATCTTGCCACAGAAGCACAAGGCAGTGGGAAGAGAAGCCAAGCTTTTTCAGTCCTCCCACCTCCTCAGCTGTGCGTGCAACATATCATTCTAGTCACAGTTTTTGTCTTCTTCTTCTTTTTGTGTTTGTTTTAGCATGACGGCAGGAGAACTATGATAATCACAGGGCCCAATATGGGGGGCAAGAGCTCCTACATCCGTCAGGTGGCTCTTATCTGTGTTATGGCTCAAATAGGGTCATACGTTCCGGCCTGTGAGGCCTATCTGAGCGTACTGGATGGTATTTACACCAGGTATGGCACAAACTCACGCACGGTTAATTTTACACTTACTAGGTAATAGAAATCCATGCATGGAGATGTTTATTAGTATTCAGAAGTGCAGAAATTGCAAGTAGTCACACTGGCATAAAATAAACTTTATCTTCCTAACTATGAGGAAAGGATTCATACACAACAAAAGCTGCTGCAAACGATAATATTTATGTCAAAATATTATTTGACATAAATATTTTATATTTTAACTTGGAGGATAGATTTGCATTTGAAAAAGTGTAAAAGGAAAAAAAAGAAATACAACAATCTCAATGCACAAGTCTGCAAGTCCTTAAAATGATTTGATTTCTGCATTTATTTATTCTGGGTGAAACTCATGCTGATAAAGCTCGCCACATTAGTCAAGTCCAATGTGGCGAGACTTTGGCCATGTCCTCTGACTTGAAAAAACACTGTAAAAGTACATTTAAGTAAAATCTTGCTAAAAATGTCCAGATTTTTTGTAAAAGTTCTCCAGGTTTTTTTTTTTTTTGTTTAGGTTTTTTTTGGAACATCCTTTGTCCTTCTTAAAGGTTGGCTAAAGGACAGCATGCGAGTGCATACCTACAGGTTAGGAGGAAATAAACTCATAGATACCTTATTTAAGTCTTTCAACTAAAGAATGGTGTCCCCAGTAAAAATGATTTAGAATAGCCAAGGACAGAGTCCATCTTTAAATGTAAGAGTCACCTTAAGAGGACTTTGGATATTTTAAGGATGTTTAATGTGCTTTTATTGAGTTTTAAATCAATGGTAATCTTGATCAACCATTTATGCGAAATTAAAGGCCTCAAGCTGCAACATCAAGATGTGATTGTATGATTTTTCTCCAATTTTATCAAACAGGACATTTAATACACTCACACTTACTTATTTAGTGTACCCTGATGCTAAGAACTTCACATCTAAATTGAGTTTTTAGTTTACCATTTTCTAGTTATTGACAAGGAGGCCACCAGTGAAGAAGACAAGGTCACTCTCCACCCGAATTTCTCATTTATCTAATCTCACTTTCCCATCCAGTGACATCACTTAGTTTATTTTTTGACCTGGAACTCAGACAAATCCCATCTAATCCATTTATTGCTTACCACAAAGAAGGTATGTAACATGAGTACAAGAATGTTCAAGAATGGTTTCTAACTGTATTGTTCCATCTTAGTTTAATATATCTCCATCTGGCTCTCTCTATCAAACTAGACAATAAGGCTTTTTTGTTTAAAGTTTTTTTTCTTTTTATTTATTATTATCCCTACCTTGATGAGAGTGGCCATAAGCCCCCCAGTGCTCTATGAATATTAGTAGAGAGTGGAGACTGATATATTTTCTCTTTTATTTAAGCATGTATGCATGCTTTAAACAAGGAGGAGCCTGAGATCAGGGGGAGTGTTGGAGTTTCTAACCTATATTGGCTCGTTCTTGTCTCCTTGAATATTAAGTTTATGCAGAAACATTTTTGAAATCTTATTTGGAATTTCCTTTGATAATTAGAGAAAGGCTTTGAGGATGTTAAGTCAAATAAGAATATAAATGCACTCAAACCTGTTCAATAACTGTTACTTCTAAAGGTTGGTCTCATGATGTTTGGCTGTCACAACATAGGTTTTCTACTTTACATTTACATCAAAACCAGCTTAAAAACACATGAAACTCATTGAGTAGGAAGGTGCTTAGTATCGTGCCTAAGAACACTTTGATATGTAAGCCTTGATATATTATATACACATAAAAAAAAGCATGTGTCTGAGTGAAAAATGTCCAGCCAGCCCCATTTTAATGTGTTTTGCTCTTAAATGTTGCATTAAAAGCTTTGAAGCAGAGGATTTCTCAGGTTATTAAGATGTATATAATCTTGGTGATATAAGACTTGGATGCAGCTGCTCAGCCATTAGACATTACTCCATGAAACTGTGCACTTTTTGTGAACTCATCTAAAGGCCACATGCATTTTACAGGACTGTAACTCTGCAGTAAGCTAACAACCTCTGCATCTCAGTCCCCAGTTTTCTCTGTAAAGTGATGTTGGAAATTGGTGGCAGAATTGCTGTTGATTCTAATTGCTTCCACTTTATTAAAACACTCCTAACTGTTTACTGTAGAATATTTAGCAATGAGGAGATTTCCCAAGCGGGATCTTTTCACTTTACACTGTAACATTGCAGTACACAGTTTAGCTAGATCCAACAGTAGAGGAGGTGCAACTTGTAGAAATAAGGATCAGTAATTATGAACTCACATTATGTAAATCCCTTTATTGTCCCACAATGGGGAAATTAACTTTCTGCATTTTAACTCATCCCCTTGGGGAGCAGTAGGTGACCATTGTGTAGCGCCTGGGGAGCAGTGGGGGGTTAAGGGTCTTGCTCAGGAACCCAGAGAGGAGAATGTGGGAATCAAAGCGGGTACTTGCAACTTGCACAAGCGCACTGCTCTAACCACTAGGCCAACACCCCATTAAAGGGTTATTTTGCAATGACCACCTTTTGCATAGATGGAGGAATCCCTATTTGTTCCTGGATTTGAATTGTTAAAAAAGTGCCTAGAAGGCATTTTGCTACAAAAAATATGTGGAGACTCTTAAAAAACAAATTATTTTATTAGGATTATAGTTCAATCTTTTTCGGGGCCAATGCTGTAAGTTTTAAGCTATATGGAGGTTGCTTCTTAGTTAAATCTTAAGAAATAAGACAGAAGTTTCTCTGTTGTGATTGATTTCCTTCATACTTTAGTTCTTTGGGGATTTAAAATATTATTTAGTCTTTTTATCAGGAAGAAGTACACTATTTCCACAGGCAAAATACACCCACACCATGTATCTGCTGTTTTCTCCTCTCGTTATCCGTTGCTTCAGGGATACTGTGAACTAACTAGACTATTGATGCTCCCTATCAGAGGTTATGATGCTGGGGTAAATCTGTCGGGACGATAAACGATTAATCAGTTTCCACTGCTGTGTCAGCCATAATAGACGCAGCAGCTGGAATTGCCTCGTCACATTAGGGAAGCAGATATAAATCAGAGCTTGTGAGATATTGTGAAGAGATTGTCTATTTGTGCTTGAGAGGAATGATCAGACATTTTCAGTTGGAAGTAATGGAATGGTGCATTGATGCCTAATATCAAATCCTATCCGGACTGATCCAGATGACTGATTATAAATGAGGACAAAGAAAATAATCTGGATTAAAATAGTGTTCTGCCTTGCAGAGTCTTATCATTTTTCTGCCCTTTCCACACACAGTAGTACAGTTTATGTGTTTATTTCATATTAGCTGACAAATGCTTTTCGTGTGTGCATGTATGCAGCTGCTGTGCTGGCTTGACGGTATTAAGTCCTGAAGGTTACAGAGCGCATTCTTCCATGTCTCCATGGTTGTTATGGAAACAGCAAGAGGAAGCAGGATGTAAAACTCTGTTTTAAAGCGACCTTTAATTGACAATGCTTTCCAAGCTGTGATTAGACCGTCTTCTGTGCTAATCTCTTGCCTTCGTTTAGAAAATGACTTGTTTCTTGTTTTGGAGTTTCAAAAAAACACTGTAATTCTCCAAGAATGTGATTGCAGTAAATAAATATTGGTCGGTTCTCTGCTGCCAAGAAGTCTGTGGGTAACACAAACACCTACAGGGGCAAGTGGGTGTTACATGCCAGTGAGAAAATAAAAGGACTTATTTTACACCTACTGATTCATTTGTAGTGTTACCCTGACTGTGCTTACTCTCAAGTGGCATGGAGGTATCCTCTAAAATATGTTTTATTTCTGAAAAAGAAAGTTTAATGGGCGGTAAAAAAAAGTCTCTATCTAAATGATTTATATTAATTATTTTCCCACCTTCAATCGTCTTACATTCATCAAGCTTGTGCCACAAACTTTGAAATAAATGCCTCTCAATATACACTCACCGGCCACTTTTTTAGGTACCACATGCTAGTAATGGATTGGACCCCCTTTTGCCTTCAGAACTGCCTCAATTCTTCGTGGCATAGATTCAACAAGGTGCTGGAAGCATTCCTCAGGGAGTTTGGTCCATATTGACATGATGGCATCACACAGTTGCCGCAGATTTGTCGGCTGCACATCTATGATGCGAATCTCCCGTTCCACCACATCCCAAAGATGCTCTATTGGATTGAGATCTGGTGACTGTGGAGGCCATTTGAGTACAGTGAACTCATTGTCATGTTCAAGAAACCAGTCTGAGATGATTCCAGCTTTATGACATGGCGCATTATCCTGCTGAAAGTAGCCATCAGAAGTTGGGTACATTGTGGTCATAAAGGGATGGACATGGTCAGCAACAATACTCAGGTAGGCTGTGGCGTTGCAACGATGCTCAATTGGTACCAAGGGGCCCAAAGAGTGCCAAGAAAATATTCCCCACACCATGACACCACCACCACCAGCCTGAACCGTTGATACAAGGCAGGATGGATCCATGCTTTCATGTTGTAGACGCCAAATTCTGACCCTACCATCCGAATATCGCAGCAGAAATCGAGACTCATCAGACCAGGCAACGTTTTTCCAATCTTCTATTGTCCAATTTCGATGAGCTTGTGCAAATTGTAGCCTCAGTTTCCTGTTCTTAGCTGAAAGGAGTGGCACCCGGTGTGGTCTTCTGCTGCTGTAGCCCATCTGCCTCAAAGTTCGACGTACTGTGCGTTCAGAGATGCTCTTCTGCCCACCTTGGTTGTAACGGGTGGTTATTTGAGTCACTGTTGCCCTTCTATCAGCTCGAACCAGTCTGACCATTCTACTCTGACCTCTAGCATCAACAAGGCATTTCCGCCCACAGAACTGCCGCTCACTGGATGTTTTTTCTTTTTCGGACCATTCTCTGTAAACCCTAGAGATGGTTGTGCGTGAAAATCCCAGTAGATCAGCAGTTTCTGAAATACTCAGACCAGCCCTTCTGGCACCACCACGTTCAAAGTCACTCAAATCACCTTTCTTCCCCATACTGATGCTCGGTTTGAACTGCAGGAGATTGTCTTGACCATGTCTACATGCCTAAATGCACTGAGTTGCCGCCATGTGATTGGCTGCTTAGAAACTAAGTGTTAACGAGCAGTTGGACAGGTGTACCTAATAAAGTGACCGGTGAGTGTAACACAAAGTGGTGCACATAGATAAAATGGAGAGAAATCATAAACTGCTCATGTTACAAACATGACCTTAGAAGTTCAATTATGAAAAAAAAAACAAGATAGCAGTGCAGCAAAGTTATTAGAGAAAAAGAAAACCACATAAAATATATTAAAATTTAAAAAAATGCAGGCAGACAATTGCAGTTTTTATCAGAGTGATTTGCGATAATTAAAGTGCTTTAATCTTTGTGCGTATCTGATACTGAGAGAAACACTATTCTAGACTCTGGTACCTTTATCGTGCAATAGTCCCCTACTGAATTATTACTACACGGTTAGGTAGGTTTGAGCTAGCATCAAGTCACCTTTAACAACAGAGTTGTAAGACACGTCACATGGTCATTAGAAATAGGTTTATCTGATTCAGAAGAAACAGATTTCTATTTATCAATTAAATACCACTAAATCATATAAGAAGATCGCCTGAAAATTAAAGTGGGATACAAACTCCGTTTTAAAAACTAAAAGGGTAAGAGGGAGATTTATCAGGATAGGAACTAAAATCCCTTGATTTCTTTGGTGAAATTATAAGTAAAAGCCTTTTCAAAACCCACAATATGAAAAAACTCAAGTAATGGCACCTAATATCTATGTAGCCCGAAGTGAAGCCCAGAGGAAAAACACAAATCCATTTGTCAGGATTTTACCTGCTCTAGTGTGATGGCTGCATGATGCGATGCACCATGTGGGGATACAAGCCTGTAAGCCTGAAGGAGCTCATGTCTATGTTCAGGATCGCCATGTGACAAAGAATAAAATCAGTTGCCACTCTGCAAAGAGAATTAGCCAAATCTATCTCCTCTGAATATTGAAAAACTGATGGAGACATACCCCTAATGAACTGCAGCTGTAATGGCAGTAGAAGGTAGTTATTGAAAGTATTGACTCAGAGTGGTATGAATACTTTTTAAGGCATGTTTCTCCACTTTAATGTTTCTTGTAACTGACCTTCTCTTATTAGCTCAGCTGGTGCTTTTTTATATTAGCTAATAGAGTTTGATTTTATTTCTCGATTTGCAGATACTGACCAAACTCTGGCATTTTAGCCTGAACTGTGTAAATTGTAGCCTCAATTTCCTAGTTGTAGCTGACAGGATTGGCTCCAGATGTGGTCTTCTGCTGCAGTTTATATACTTAAAGTAAAAGAAAAACAAATGCATATTGTTTAAATTATTTGGTTAAAATTAGTTACTATTCAAGTTACTGTGGCCACTCTGTCATCTTAAACCAGTATGTTAATCTTTTGCTTAACTCTCACAGTACAAAAGCATATTTATTTAGACTTTAGACTGAACACTGGATGTATCTGCACCTCTTAGGGCAATTTGCTTTGAACCACTGAATTGATTACCATTGAAAATCCCAGTAGATTAGCAGTTTCTGAAAAACTCAGACCAGCCTTCTTGACACTTATAAGCACCCAACATTCAAGGTTAACTCAAGTCCCCTTTCCACCCGATTTTTCTCCTTGCTTTAAAATTCAGCAAGTGATCTTTACCTTGCCTTGATGCCTTAAGGTTTTAAATTACTAAAATGTCATTTGATGAAATCCTTACTAGATATTAATTAAACAGTTAATAAAGGGGTCAATGATTATAATACTGCTGTGAAAGAAAATGTCTTAATTGATTCTTCTGCTAGGCTAGTTGTTTGTTTAAAGGTTTGGGTATGGAAACATTTTATAGCTTTATATAAAATGATGATATGAATGAAAATTGCCATAATGCAGTTTTTTAAGATGTGTAGGGTATTGACAAATGGAGCCTTTTTTGAGAAACTGAGTTTCTGTGAGGAGGGACTCATTCGAAGCAGCGAGACACCCAGTTGGTAGAGTCTTTTTTTTAAGTTGGCAGAGATTTGCTGTGTTTTCTGCTGAGCATCCTTTCACCAATACACCAACTGGTGTCAGATAATGTTTATCTATTCTTTCTCCCAGTGTGGATTCGCCATATTTCCGGGCCTGAATTAAGGCACAGAACGTGCGAATGAAATGCAGCAGCGTACCTGACATGCCTCCTTCCTGTAAGGCATGTGTGGTGCAACCATGGTAACGACTGCTAGTGTTTCATTCACAGGAAAAGATGAAAGTCGGTTTAGAAAAACGGCTCATTTCAAGGCACAAAGCGCAGACTGGCAAAGAGATCTGGTTATGTGTTTGTTTCAGATGAATCAAACAGCAGACGGAGATCCGATTCATTCCCCTAGAAAGAATTCAGTATGCTGTTTCACTAATCTGAAAACATTAACATGGACTTTTTTTTTTTTTTTTTTACTGCTTTGGCTCATTCAGAGTAGCCAGATCCATACAATATGTTTAACTATACGGGTATATGTATATGTGTGTATATATGTATATATGTGTGTGTGTGTATTAATATATGTATTCAGTAAGTATTCAGACGCCTTTTCATTTTTCTCTTTGTTTCATTGCAGCCATCTGCAAAAATCCCAAAACGTTCATTTTATTCTCAATGATTTACACTCATCAGCACACCATCTTGACTGGAACAAACAAAAATGAAGAAATTTTTGCAATTTATAAAAAAAAAACAAAAACCCTGAAATATCATATCTTCATAAGTATTCAGACCCTTTTCTCAGTATCGAGTAAAAGCACCCTTTTGAGCTAGTACAGTCATGAGTCTTCTTGGAAATAATGCAACAACTTTTCACACCTCATATGTACACAGATGTAGCCAGTATGTCCATTTTACATCATGAAGTAGACAGACCGCCTTAACGGTCTTGTCCAAGGACCAACACTGGATTATCTAAAAATATATCCCATGATATAAATGCTCCATGCGGGATTTTCACTCTGACTCCCTCATGGCAGTCAGTCACGGTCCGGTTTCAGTTTCACAAATACAGAAGTTGTGTACTGTACATAAGGTTGGCATTTTTTTGGGAGGAAACTGTCTTTGGAGGCTGATTCTTGACAAACGGAGCTCTGTAGTCTGCCTGAATGTAAGATTCGATTTGTCTCTAGGATTTGAGGGGTCTGCAGAGATGTCAGCTGCTTTTTCCCTGAACCTTGACCTGTACAAGTCCTGGATAAAGGAAGGCTGACCTTGATGATCCTCTAAGCAGTGTAGTTTGTAGATCAACAGCTCCTGTGGAAAGGTGTACATCTTGAATTGCTCCAGGAATTGCAGAGCTTTTAAAATTTGATCATTGTATGTGTATAGGTTATTTTTGTGTGTTATCAAAATTAGCTTGATGATCTAAAACAATTACAAAAGAAGCATAAACAAAAGCAAAACAACTCTAATGACCAGAACCACTTTCAAGGCTTATGTCTTACTTTAACCTGTTAAACATGAATCAAAGCTAATGGGTTTGCCCATAAATAAAATTGGGAAAATGTTTCTTTTTGACTCTACTAATTGAGACAAATTGTAATGGTGATGCTAACAAACATCTTCTTTTGTTGGTGAGATATAAGCATTTTTGTTTGTTGACTGTCAGCATTACATAATGAAATGATGCTCTGAATATCTTGAACTGGACAAACTTATTTCTGTGTTCAGTCAATTTGCTATAAACTTGATGTTTCTTCCTGACATTTAGAATGGGAGCTTCAGACAATATCTTCAAAGGCCGCAGCACATTCATGGAAGAGTTGACAGAGGCCTCGCAGATCATTTCTCAAGCAACAGAACGCTCGTTGGTCATCCTCGATGAACTCGGACGGGGAACTAGCACCCATGATGGGATTGCCATAGCCTATGCTACCCTGGAATACTTCATCAGAGATGTAAGTTGTTTCATTTTCATCACTGTGTGTGGAACAACATAAAGGCATCTTTGATCATTTTTACAATACTTGCTTTCTTAATGTAATTTGTGTTCATAAAATAATTCATTTGCAAGTTTTACAGGATTTTTGCATTAAGAGCCCCTTAGAAATGGAGCACATCAATAAATAGATATGCAGTGAAGCTTGAAAAATAGCACTGTAATATGTAATAAGAGAGAAACGTGTCATAGAAAAGTAAGTAGAAAAAAGATATGATACATAGATTTACAAGTATTTACACCCATTTCTAATATTCTGCTTATTTTTTATATCCCATCTATCCATTACTGCTCATGGTTGAATTTAAATATTGAATCCTAATGTAGGTTTCTTCTGCAGTGACACATAATTGGTATGCAATACAATATATTGACACTTCAAACACAACTGTAAAAAAAATGATGTTTTCTACGGTGCTCTTTGTAGTAATGATACGGTACAAACAGTTATCACAATGAACGTATCTTTGCAGTTAAGGTTCCACAAATGCCACCATATCTGTCATCAAAGAAAAGTCTGATACATGAAGCTTTAAACTGCGTCTAAATGTGTGACTTCATTCAGTGTAAAAAAGTCTTAACAGATTTCCACAACAGGAATTTTTTCCAGATTCCTCTGTAGTTTTCTGCGACCCATTTTTACCATTATTGTTTCCACAGTCTTTACATTCAAATAAATCACTAAAATCAGTTTTCTTTAGTGGAAATATAAGTGAGCCTTATACTTTTGCTGTCAGTGTGTGCAAAGCAGAAGGCATTGTAGAGCCATATTGAATAGATTTGTTCAAGAGCTTTACTGCATTTATTTTTTACAAATTGAAAAATAAATACCCTTCCGGAATGAGGAGCATGCCTAGAGTTTAGGTTTGAATAAAGCGTGGACTTTACATCTGACTGTATTTTCTTTTGGACAAATCTCAGAAAACTGAATAATCATGAAACGTGAAAAATGTAGAAAAATAACATTGAGGGATTTCAGCAGCTTTACAGACTGTAACATGCTCTCAATGATACGCATTTTAAAAGAATTGTGAAAGTTGCAGAAAACGCATGTGCATAAATAGACACTAGCTCAAGTACAATAACATACATAGAGGGAACAGTAAAGAGGTGAGATTTGTTTCTGTATATGTTAATCCAAGTTTGTGAAATGCCGAGATCGGGACCTTGATAGGAAATGCTATGGGGTTGCTAGGGGTAACGGCAGATCCAAAATGAAGGGTCTGGGATGAGATTGTGAAAAAAAAAAGACTTTCAAAAAACCCCAAAAACAAACAAGAAAAGATAAAAGACAATAATGCCTATTTTTCTTTTTAATAGTCATCCACAAAGATATATTCAGATATTTGATTAAATGTATTATACACAAAATATTTTAACAGTAGTCCAGATGCTCTGTGGTTTTGGGCTCTAAACAGTTGGCCAGTTTGCTTGTCGTAGCACGTTCCTCTATGCAGCAGTCACTCTGGGAAAAGGGGATTTGCCAAATCGGATGGCCGAAAATAACCCGAATGAGCATCTGATCTTGAATTTGGAAAAATATTAGTTGTTTATTGAATTATTGCTTGGTTGAACACCAACGTCTCGTTTACCTATTTTCTTTAGACTTTTTTTGTCACCACGGCAGTAACAGTGTAAATGCTTATGTGGTTAATGGTTGTTATTGTGATATATATTTGCAATTGAATAAATTTGAATGCCATTTATTATATTTTTTCCTTATTTTTTTTAAAGAAATGTTTTGAAAGCTGGTATTTGTTCTGCAATTCTTTGTTCTGACTGACCAGTTCTGGTATTATTACATAATGACAAAAAAAAAAACTCTTCAGATAATGCAGGGAAGCAAATTTCCCTGTAGAGACAGAAACACTGAAATGTAGCCTTTAAAGCTTGCTTTAAATTATTATTGTGTGTGTGTACATTTTGGCAATTAAAGTAAAAGTGTGACTTGTGACATCTCTTCCTGTCCCATGAGTAAACATATGTATTTACTATGTGCTCACAATATACCGCAGGAGTGAATTGTGAATTCCTGTGCGGTGTAAATCAAGTTGTCTATCAAATGTGGCTTTGACCCTTCAACAGTTGACCATGTTAAGGCCAGCTTTTTATGATCCAGTACTGTACTGTGGGGTTTTGACCCACAAAAAGCAACCAGAATTAACCACCAACAACGTAATAAACTAAAAATAAATGAGACTAAAACTGGCTATAGGATGAGGATTTAGGTCTCCCACAAAACTGCTGGGTGTTTTATATTTGAAGAGCCAAGAGTATGGCTATTTAATATAATAGTAGCTCAAGGGTTTGGGCATCTCCACGCCGAGTTTCATCGTCAACACGCACTCTCGCTACTTGTGTAGTTCTTCAAGCTACATGTGAAGAATGAGAGCAGGTTGAGGTTAAGATGACTGTTAGAAAAACATGCATTTTTATGAGAAAATATGTCAGCCCAGCGTACTACTCAGATGCAAGGGAATATTGAACCAAAGTTAAACACTGGATGTATACAGGTTGTCAGTCACTTTCCACCAGTTGAATGAGCATTACTTATGTGATTGACTTGATGTATTGAACTGAAAATGAAATTTAGACATTTAAATGTATTCAGTGTTAATTTCTCAGTGTTCTGGATCTTTGAAGGTTAAACAAAATGAGATTTTGATACAGCTATAAAATTAACTTTCCTTATCCCAAAGGAACTGACCGCTGTAATTTCTACTTTCTTGATTCTGATGCACACATTGATTAGAACAGTAGCACAGCCTTTTCATTTTCTCACCTTTAGACCAGTTACCTAAGGTAATCAAAAAGCCAATACACCTTGCAAGAAAGGAAACAGTTTGACTGCAGCTTAGCACTTTAATTAGATTCCACCAGTTCCTAACACAACTGCTTCAGGTCTTATGCAAATAGAATTGAATAGTTGGACTGTAAGTTTTTCACAACAACCCTTTACAAAACGTTGCAGCATTCTTGAATCACTCTCTTCAGTCCTAGAAACAGTAGTCTGTCTAAATAGACCTCTGGACATGAAGTTTTGTGTTGTCATTCTCAGTGTTGTTGTGTATAAAGAAAGTTGCTAAAAAGACGACTTTATATCCCAGAATGCAGCTGTCGCCTCATTCTACAGCCACAGCTGCTTTTCTTTGGTTTCATTACTTTGACTCTTTTTCTCCTTAATGTGTAATCAAAGCCGAACAGCTGGATAAAATCAGTCATGGTATTTTATTATGGGTTTATTCTGTTTATTTGAGAGCCGTGTACAATATGCCTTGGTTGCAACATTCAAAAGTTGATGAATAAGGACAAATCTTTTGAAACTTATTTCGAGTTATTGTGTTTTCCATTTTGCTTTAGGCTTGGATAAAATCATTGTTACATAATTCTGCAGAACTTAGAATGAAAATGTGTTGGTAGCTGTTTATGCAGCAGGGAGCTGTTATTGGCTAGAGGAGGGAGCTTGGTAGCTTGCATAACAGCTTTGATTTGTCAGAAAAAAACTTGCTATCAAAAGAAAAGAAAACAAAAGGCCACAAAAAGATATGTTGTAAGAGAAAAAAGGCCCCTTCTGCTTAGGCTTCCTCCTGGGGTCTTACATGCTGACTTCATGACTTCTTAGTCCCTCTCCTCCTTTTTCCTGCCTTGCAGATGATGAATGTTAAAAGGTGGACTACTCCTCCTTGATCTCAGTTTTTAAAGAAATAAACCTTTAATTCTTCCTGATATACAGCTCAGGATAGATTAAAATACTGATTAAATTCATATCAATACCCAATATCAATAATCAGTGCAGCTTTTTAAGCCCTGCGCTCTAAAGAGGTTTGTGAGTGGCTTTTAAAAAATGCTAATAGCGCCTCTACCACCGTTCCTTAGCCATTGAGGATGGCCTTGTTGGCCACCTCCTCCTGGTTCTGGAGCTCTCTAAGCTGCTGTTCTGACATTGATTCTCGGCCACGCCTTCCTGAGCTCGGAAAGCTGTCTCCCCTTACCTCTGTTGTCCAGGTGATATGTCACCGTTTTAGGCAGAAAGATGGGTTCACTCACGAAAATAAACACAAAACCCACAGACTTGCACTTGAAATCAGTTGTCTACATAATAACTGGGCAATGGCCAGTGTAAGTCTAGTTTAAATTATTTTATTAGTCTGTCTAGGATGGTATATAGCAGATCTAGTTCAACACATCATATCGGTTAAATAGCAGACAGACAAGCTAACAAAAATGTACAATAAAGGAATGGTTTTAGACATATAAGGTTTCCATCCCAAAGCAAACACTTTCTGATGTAATATGAATAATGCATTACACACAGATCAATATTTATATCATATTTGTATAGATGGGAACAAAAACTATGAGAGAGAAATATTCAAAGATCTATGTACCTTCTTACCTGGTTCTTTATCCAGGTTTTGCATCACCTCTTGTGAGCTAGAAGAAATCAAATCTTGATAGATACTGATTTTTTTACCCTTAGCAGAGGATGATCAGCCACATATAGTCAATTAAGTAGCGAGGGCAGGAAGAGCCATACTGCTGAGAGCCAACCATGAGTGTGGAGCGTGTGGAGCGTGTGGAGCGTGTGGAGCGTGATTCGGAGCTAAGCGCTGTGCCTTAGCACAGCTGGAAGAGCAGAGTATGTCAGAGTTAGCGCGTAGTACTTGACCATTGCGGCTTATTATCTCCCATGCCACTGCTGCATGATCCATCTGTGGTCATGCAGAATGTGCATCGGTGATACGACCAAACAGGATGCAGCAGCACGGCTGATATGGCTTCGCTTGTCTAACAGATTACAACACAAATACGCATTTTAAAAATCTGAGAGACAACCCACTTATAATAATAATAATAATAATAATAATAATAATAATAAATCCAATTTGTACCTCACTTTTCATTAACAAAAATCTCAAAGTGCTACACAGTGCAAATAAAATCAAAGATAAAAATCAACATCATAAAAATCATGTGGAGGCAGAATAGGCTTGCTTAAATAAAAAAGTCTTCAAGCCTCTTTTAAAATCATTCAGTGGTTGTGGAGCTCTCAGATGATCTGGGAGAGAGTTCCAGAGACGGGGGGCAGCTTATGTTAACTGTCACGTTTTCCTCATCAAAGATTCATGTTTAGCTCATCAGTTCTCGTGGTCATTAAGAAAAGGAGCGTCAATGAGATAATTTCTTCATTGTCATCATTGACGAGAACAACACTGGTATACAGGCCTAACTTGCCGCAGTCACATTGTAATGGTGAGCTCTACAGTCAATAGTTTGTCAGCTCTGTGCTGCAGTAGTGCAAAAGATGTCTGCCTCCACAAATGCAAACCTTATCCTATGAAATTATAAAAAGCTATTTCTACATCAAGGAAAACATAAAGATTGAGACTTTCAGGTCATATGCAATAATAAATAACATAATTATAGATAATATATTACATTTGTGTCAGTATATCCCTGTAATTATTAGACACCTTACCTTTGAAGGGAGAAGTGAGAATCTGTTAAAGAACACGGCTTTTAAAAGTTGCTTTATAACTGGCAGGATGCTAGTTAATTATTTGTCTATTTGATTTAATTCTCCTTTTTATATTCACTTTAAAGAACCTTACATTATTTTCTGGGATCTACTTAGAATCCAATGCTGTCTGGACTTGATTCCAGATTTTCATTTTCTGTTCACCATTGAATCCATGACTCAGCATTATATGTGACAACACAAATGTTACAAAGATGGAATCATGTTCTTGGAAACACAGAAACCTAGAGCTTCACACTAATGGATAGATATCTTGTGTAACATATCCCTGCGTGTGGGAGTAAATGGTGGGACGTGCTCATGCTGATGCACTTACATCTAAGCTCTTTTCACAGCCTTGTGCCTGCAGTGCGCAACACTTAAATGTTGATACTTCGAATGTGTCTTTATGTTGTTTGATTTTTCCTGATACTTTAATATTTGGAAAACCCTGTAGGTCATTATAATAAAAATATTAACGTAAAACCAGTATAAAACATTGCTATTAAAAGAAAAGAAAAGAAAAGGCCACAAAAATTATATGTAAGGAGAAAAAAAGCCTCCCCAGTTTAAGCTTTCTCCAGGGTTCTTACTTGCTGACTTCATGACTTCTCACCCTCACCCTCCAAGAGGCATTTAGACTACATGTCCCATAATGCAAGTTACTCTTAGACCAAGCCAAGGCTGTGCTTGTTGAAAAGACAGATTTAGCAAGGATACTTAAGGTACTTTATGCATTTTCAAGCAATGAATAAATCTAAGACAAAGTCTACGCTGAAAACAATGGGCTTATACTCAGTTTGGTAGATACATATTCCTAAATGACTCTGATTGGTGCACAGAACAATTAGAAAGCTATTCTAAACAAACTTAAAACAGACTGATGAACTGAACAGTAATTAAACTGAAGCCAATGAACATGTGTCCAATATTTTAAAAAATATTTTTGTTTTTTGCATATGGTTTTAATACAGTTTATGTGCCACTTTTTGGTTGGTATGATTTGCATAAGAATCTAGACTTATGTGAAGAGATAATTTCAGTAAATAAGAATGGAAAAACAAAAAAAAATCAAAAGTTTGAATTTACTCCCGAGACTTGGTTTTATGTTTATGTGATTTGACAAATGGGTTATGGTAGATAAATAATTGTACTTCTAACGGCACAGATTCGTCAATTTAATGTATACCAGCGGGGGAAGATTAGGGTTCTTCCAGATGAGCTATTTTATTTAAATCCATAAACTGTTGAACACACCAGGATTTCCTCTCTCATGCTCTAATAATCATTTTTTTTCATTTAGGTACAAAGCAGATGTGGCTAAACAATAATATAATATTTCTAAATGAACATCTTGCCTTCACCTGATCTTTCATGAATACACAAGCTTAGAATCTAAAATTATCTTGTGTATTTCTTAATTGCTGAAAAAGCACCTACACTAAAGCACTGGTACTCCAAAGTTGAAAGCATGCAGTGTAATTGCGGTGGGGGCGTGATAGAAAGGATGTGAATGAATGTGTCCCATATGAGAATAATAAAAAAAAAAAATAATGATTTATAGGATGGTTAAATTCTGTTACACCCCGAAATAAACAATTAGAACACTTGCACTTAAAAGCTTGTTGTTTTGTTATTAAAAGAAAATTGTGGCTTATTTTATTGTGCAATAAATATTGCTTGTAAAAAAAGGAACCCTGGCAAGAAAAGTTTGGGAACCACAGCACCAGAGGAGGAATTTGTCCTGAAACTGTTTTCCCACAATTAGTTTACTGCAACAGAACACATCTGTAATCAGGTAAAATTTTGCCCTAAATGTGATAAGACAACCGTTTTGTTATTGAAATTCCTCTTTCAGTAGGCTTTTAATCACTGTATAGTCAATGAATTGTTTCAGCACTAATGTGATCAGATTATTGCTCTGACGAACCAAGCTCTCGGGGCACCCTAAGGGGTCTGGTAATGAGCTGCCATTAGAAGCCAATCAGATTATTGTTCTGACTGCAGCCTCCTGTTGGAAAAACAGTTTTACTTGTAACCTTCAGTGCAGGAGGAGAAACAGATTTGTCTATTTGTCCATGTCTGTTATTGATTTGTTCTTTTTGTACCTTTGTAGGGAATGCTCTGCTTTTCAGAGTGAAACCATATTTGTGTTAGACACAAATTATTTATTTGCTCCTCCATGTTGATAAGAATGATAAATTACCAATCCAGTCATACAGTAAACCCACAAAAAAAGAAAACGAGAATGTAAAATATTTGCTAAAGTATTCAGAAAGGGTTTCTTCACTTTTCTTTGAATCTTTTGAAGGATCCAGACTTTCTTTTCTGTGGTCCTAGACAGAGGATACATCAGACTGATGACTGTTGATCTGGGGTTATATCTTGATACAACAATTGTCTGAAGATAATATGGCTGTGAAGAATGTACATTTTGTTTTTATACCTCAACATAAGGTGCAGTTAAGTTGCTAGCTTCTTATTTTAGATATGCATACAACTGGTCACAAAAGAACCCTTTGAATAATTGCATCCCCAAAATAAAAATCTTAACTTCATAGCTTGGCTTAATTCCTCCAAGTTTACATTCTGTTGTACACATTCTTGCAATGTGGATGCACAGGCTAGCCTTGCTAGTCTTTATATTTTATAGGCACCATCCAGAGGCAAAGTTTGGTCAGTGTGGAGGAACTCTTTCTAAGTTGTCTTGCACTCTATGTGGAAACCACATGTTTTACTGGCAAAAAAAAAGAGAGCTACAGCATGATGGGGGAGTGGTAGCCTAGTACTCATAGCGCTGGCCTTCTAGAAAAAGATTGCTCCCCAAGGGATGGATTGCAGTTAGCTGACAAATATCAAAGTAATCAAATACATTTTAAATGAAAAATATATATTTATTCAGTTCACAGTTAGTGTCCACTTCATTGAAATGAAGTGGACACTAACTGTGATATAGCTCTTCGTTTTTAGTGTAATCCAGCATTCAATGCTGGGAGAGACTTTGTGTTGTTAGGATTGCTTTTAAACTGGGCCTTCTGGTTTCCCTCAGAGCTCTGTTAAAACATGGCATTATAAAGTGCTTCAACTTACAAAATCCTCCCCAGTCTCCTGTGCTTATTTCCATGATGTAGATTAGAGTGCAAACAGGAGTTTGCACTCTAACCGAAGGGTTGTCGGTTCAAGGCCCAGCCCAGGATTTGTTTTTCATTGTGTCCATGTGCTAGACACTTCACTTGCATTGCGTACTGATGACGGTCAGAGGTCCCCTTGTCAGTGAGTGGCTTGGATGCAGCTTCAGTAACAGGGGAAAGAGGAAGATGTTTACTGGTTGGTTGTCAAAAAGATGACATTCACTTCATTTAGACCTCAAAAATTGAGATTTCTTTTTTTACAGACTTGAGTGCAGAGATTTAAAACTGTCTGAGCCAGTGATTACTTTGTTTGAGCAATTAAATATAGGAGGCACATTTTCTAACATGTATCATATATGTATTTACATTTCTATTCACTTGATTGTGTTATTAATAGAAGCAAAAGTAAAGGCAATGCATCTGTTTTTACTAAAGAGATTTCAGAAGCCATCTTCATGGAGCAGCAATAACAGATAAAATGTTTTCTACAGATGTCTGAAGCAGTCCAAGAGACTGACCACTTACTTTGATTTTTTCATTCTGAACTATTAACTCCAGAGTTCATTCATCTTGCCTCTCTATTTCAGCCCTGGCTAAGGTGAAGAACTGTCTTCCATTAGTTGATCTTTTCAGAGTTTGAAAAGCCAAAGTTAGTGTTTGCACCAAAGGCAGAAAAATGAGCTAGGTGGCAAGTAGAGCCAAATTGGGTGTTAAAACAACTTAAGCGAACACTGAAAGGTGAAAAAATAAATAAGTATGCAACGAGTATACTGGTTGTTATTTCAATATTCTGGCTGCAGGGTACAGAGATGAAGTAGGACTGAATCAAGACGATGTTCAAGTTGAAGCTCTTTTCTTGCTTTTTTTTCCTACATTTTGTTTAGTTGTTAAAAAAACTTCATAGCTTCCATTTGCTTTGGCTTTTATATGTATGTATATATATATATATATATATATATATATATATATATATATATATATATATGTGTTTTTCATACAGGGGACACTTTGATACTGCTAAATGGCCTATGCCTAATGCTAACCAAACAAAATATATTTTTTTTCCTCACAGGTGAAAGCATTCACCTTGTTTGTGACCCATTATCCTCCCCTGTGTGAGTTGGAACAGGTATACCCTGAACATGTGTCCAACTTCCATATGGCTTTCTTACTTAATGAACCTGACACCAACACTGACTCTGACAGTATGTTTGCACTTTTCTGCTTACCTCACCAATTGTTTTCATGCTGTATGTGCAAAATATGGTCAAGATTATCTTAGGGTGGATTTGGTGCACTTGAATACTTTCTTGTATATGACTGTGTATGTTGCCAGATGGAGAGGTTCAGCCAGAGTTCATCACCTTCCTCTATCAGTTAACTGAAGGCGCTGCAGGGCGAAGCTATGGTCTCAACGTGGCCCGGCTGGCTGATATTCCTGATCCGATACTACACACCGCCTCTCGCAAAGCCAGAGAGCTGGAGACTATGGTCAATGCCAGGAGGTATATATAGCACATATATTCACTTTGACATTTCCTTCAAGGGTGCACTTATTTTGCACATTAAGATCAGGACAGTAATGCAGTCTTTGTTCTATAATGTGTGCACACGGTGAGCTGTTTGTATACTTTTACCTTTTTAAAACTGTTGAACAAAATCTTGCTTTTAGATTAACACTAAGCACATTTGTTCAAATGTGCTTAGTGTTAATCTCAGTATAAATATCCAAATTACAAGTGATTAAAATATGTGAAGCCAGATGGAGAATTGATACTTAAAGCTAAGATTCAGCTCTGAAATGATTTACTAGACATAAACAGAGACTCATCTCTATTAAACTAATGTTTATTCAAACTTTTACACTTAAATGCACTTGATTTCATACTTGAGCTCCTGCATTTGAGCTGCAAAATGTGTCACTGTACCATGAAAAAAGAAAGGCATACAAATAAAAATCAAGGATTTATTTTGAACTATTAATTTATCTGAGGCTTTAAAAGTCTCTGAAACTACCATGCGTTTTCTGCCTGCTAGACATGTTTTTAACATATGTGGAACGGCATCAAATAAATATTTTCTTTTTAGATTTATGATTTCTCATTTATGTATCTTGGTTAATTAGTTGCTGCAGTCCTTTCATCCAGTCTAATTTTTGTTCAGTTTATCGGATTTTATATTGAATTCAGCCATGTATCATAAGTGCAGTGGAAAGTATCACAAATGTTAAAAGATTTTTAGGTTTTGGCTGTTTTGTCACATTCACTTTTTTGAAGTCATCAATGAAATTGTAATTGTACAAAAGTAAACTGAATGAAGACGAGCAGATTTCATATGGTGATTTTAATTCAGAATAACTAAACCAAGGCCAACAACTGGCCGGACTGGTCCAGACTTTAGGGAAACAATTCAGGTGTTTTCAGCAGCTCACCATAAGTTTTGTAGATTAATTTCTTTGATTGAACTTCATTAAAAGATTTTTTTTGTTTTACAGTCATGCATTCCACAGGAACACAATCTCGTCTTTGATTAGGCCATTCCAAAACCTTCATTTTACTTTTTTGTCCCAAATAAATGTTTGAACTAACTGAGTAATTTGAACCACTGTCCAGCTTAGGGTCACAAACAGGTAATCATTTTCTAGGGAGCAGAATTTAAAATCCCAAACCATTACACTGCTGTAACACTCAGTTTCATAACAGATGCAACAGGATGCACATCTGCAACTTCAAGTTCTCTTTATCAAACCGATTAATCTTTTTTTTTTTTTTTATATCTTCGTTTCAACTTTTGCCCTGTTTCTTCCTAGTTGTTGAATCATGGTCATTGCTTTAGTTGCTAACCTGGGTTTCTGGATGAACTCTTGATGCAGTCTTAAATAATTTGGACCTCAGCTATAAATAGGTTTAACATTGTTACATTGTCTCTGCATTCGTGGTTAATGGCTCTGAATGTGCTTACTTGAAGTCTTAAAGCCTTAAAAGAACTATACCTGATTTTCTGGATAAGAAAAACTCTTTTTACCTAATGTACTATGAGTTAAAAGAAGTAATTTGACAGCAACAATTGACTGATTAATTGCATGATGGGCGAAGACTGGACTTTTCATAACCAGCGACAACCTGCGATGGCTTTTCTGTGCCAGCAGCACAACAACAAAGACAGAGCCTTTTGTACAGCACCAGTTCCTCCAGCGTGTGCCAGACAGGCTATGTGTACAGAACAGCATAACTGTCAGAGCTCAAGGGGATGAACAGCAGCTATATCTCCACTGCCTGTCATTGCACCCACAGGCTTCTTAACAGCCTAACAGAACAACAGACGAAGAGAAGAAGGACCTGAAGCATAACATTGACGCAGCATAAACACATTTAATGTGAATGTAGCCATAAATTACTCTAGGTGGAGAACATTATAGTACTGCCTTAGACTAGATTGCTCAAAACAGACTCTAGTGCTGCTAGACAGGTAACTTCAATATATTTTAGCAGCTCATAGCTGTGTGTTACTTTATGCTTTAGTAACATTTTATCTGCCACTGTTACATACATAAAAATGTGGTTCCATAGGATGGTACATTAGCTTGAGGCACATGAATAATCTTGTGAATGTCATAGAGAATGAGCGTTTCTCAAGGGGGGAAAAACAGCAGTTGGGGTCAGGGCTCATTAATTAACCTGTGCAGAATCAGGTATAATCCCTTAAAAAAAATGTTTTTAACCCCATTAAAACAGATTCTATTCTTATTGTGGTTTGGCCTACTATCTGTTTTCTTTCAGGATCTATTGAAGAAATCTTTTGATTTTTCAACTCTGTCAGTAATGAGAACTGGGTCTGCTTAATCATAGTTAGGGACAATGTAATGTTTACCTAAACTTTTTGAATTTTTTTTTTCTTAATGCATGTAAATGTTTGTTTTAATTGCATTCTGGGATCTGATCTGTTTGACAATGTGTGACCAAAAAAAGGAAAAATAAGTTTGAAAATGGGCAAAAGTTATATGAACAGACATGAACACTGAATTAGGACTTATGAAATTAGATCAACATTTCTCATGTCTATTTTGCCTGTGCAAGTTTTCCAATTGTCAATTTAAATTATTATTTTTTTGCATCAGTACTGAATAACTACATGTGAAATTTGCTGTGCTACGTTAGTAGTTAAAAAAATATTTTTTTTTATGTTCTGCTATTCTCTCCTTTCTGGCATTCAGCTGTGCAGCTGGTCTTTAATGGAAGGTTGTTTAGATTTTGAAGCACAACAATTTATATATATATATATATATATATATATATATATATTTATATATATGTATGTGTGTGTGTGTGTGTGTGTGTGTGTGTGTGTGTAAAGCTAAAAGGGCTCATAATTTCTGATAACTATGTATGTTTTGCCTCCTTGAAGAGCACTGCTGAAATTAAAAATGGATAACTGAGACTCAATATTTTACTGCCTTAATTTGCCAATTGCAGTGTTGAAGATAAAGACCCCAGACTCCACAGTAATTTTACCTGCGATGAATATGGAAACTGCTGATATGAAGGTTTCAGCTTTCTGACAGAAATGCCTCTCAGTGAAGGAAGTTGAAGAGAAAAAATGTATGGAATGACTTTACAATCCATCAGTTGTTGATGCTGATGCATAAGGGTTATCTGTAGGAGTGCACCCCAGGATTCCACTAAGAACTGACAGAAGATTGACATACAGTATAAATCGAGGTTTATACTTTACCTGTAGAAAAATAAATTATGTCTCCTTTATATTATCTTATGTCTATTAAAATGTATCATTGCTCCTTATTCGCAGTCCTTTCCACCCTGTAAAATATCTGTCAGCACACATACCAAATACGTCATTGGTGTAAACTTTTATTTTATGTTTGGTCTATGTTAGACCAACTCATCTATCATACTCAAAGGAGTTGAGTATAGTTTTCTGACTTTGCTTTGATTTTCTGCTTCAAGTTGTTTAACATTTAATTGTGTTTTTGTGTTTCTCTTTAGGAAGTATAAGAAACTGCTCTCAGATCTTTGGAGCATCTCTGATAAATCCTCCCTTCTAAAGTGGCTGCAGTCAAACTCTTGATGTCTCAGCATTCAATGATCATTGGACTATAAACACTTGAAGGAGTAAATTATGCAATCAATAGCTGAACATGCCTGGAGAACATTTCTAAATGCTCACTAAACCTTTTCCCTAAAGAAGCTTGTTGATTTTATAGTATTTGGATTTTCAGAATATGGTAATGATTTAAAAACATTTGCTACTGTAACCTGTCATCACGTCAGTTGAGTACTAATTGATCATATTTTTACTGAAAACTCAGTTGTGTTTGTGTGTTTGGTGGAAAAATAAATAAAAATGCTTGACCTGTCTTCTTTTATGACTTTTAACTTATAGTTGCTTGATTATTGAATAAAAATAGATCACTTACTTTTGGTTTATATTAAAATATGGATTAATATACATGGTGGTTGACCTTTGCAGCATGCCCCATCCCCCAATCTAAAGACCATTGAATGCAACAAGACAAATCTGATATTTCTTTTTGTAGAATTATGTTCAATGATAAACTCTTGTAAACAAAGTGACAACGTTATTTATTTCATATTTCAAATTTAGGATTCGTAACAGGTGAAGGCTAGATTGGTGCATAAAATGTGAATTTATCTAAATCCATAAAACATGAGTAGCTGGAAGTGGATTTCATACGATTCAAAAAATGGCATGAAGTTAATTTTTTTTTTTCATATTATGCACCATATCTGAAACTATACCATTAAGACAATAGACCAGCTTATATGTCACTTCTATCTAATTAAGATATTTCCTAATAGGAACTGCACATGTTTATAAACTGAACTGAAATGAGAATGGTTTGTATTGTTAAGACTGGTAACAGGTTGGCGGACAGACACCTGGCACCACCTTAAGGTAAATCCCAAAGCAGAGGAATTGATTCAAGTAATAAACAAGTTAGACATCTTATGCCTGAAAACACGAGGAATACCTGCCATTACAATAGCAAGAACAAAATAGTCCGTATAAAAGTAAAGCAGGTAAAAATGTAAAATTTTATTTTTTTATTTTTTAAATCTAGGGTAGGGTGGGAGAGGAGATTGTTATTAAATACATTTTTCTCTCAAATATTGGTTGAGAAAAAGCTCTTAGGCCTAAAAATGTTGAAGTGATTGGAAAGTTAACAAAGGCCCTGTATTTTATGGAATAATAACCTCATTTGTTACTTTACATCAGATCTGTTTATGAAAGAGTTACACAAATGTTAAACAAATAACATGTTCTGAACTAAAATGTGAAGGAAACCTTGGACTTTAAATACATAAAATGTAACCAGAAACTTGTATGCACTTTGAGATTTTATGTGCCAGCTCAAAATAAAGAAGTGAATAATTGTGAGTTTAAAGACAAATCTATTCCTTTTATTTGTGAACATCTTTTGATGCTACCACCAGCACGCCTTTCTATGTGGAACAGATGATGTGCAACTGTTTAATAATAATTTGTAGAGTCCAAAGTTCATAGTTTGCATATTCCTACATGAGCTATTGATCTCTATAGCTCCTTCAGAGTTGCATGTTTCTTTTTTGGTTTGCAGGTTATTTACTCTAGTTAAACATAGTAGTTTTAACTATGCTCTGTTAGAGTTTTTATGTTTTATAACTTATCTCCACCTCTTATGTGTTTATTCGGACTATTTGCGATTATTATTAAGTTTTTCCCTGTTGTTCTCTGCTAAACCTTTTAAACTTTCAAAGCAGGTACATTTGTGCTGAGACCAAGGCAGGTTGAATTTGTTTCGGGATATTGGAGTAAAGAGCGGCCAGCTCAAATATAAAAGTCTAATTAAAATATCGTTAAAAAGCCTTTTCAATCTTTTTACTTGTTATTAAGCAGAGCAGTTTCTTCTCTATATCTCTCCTGATGAAACGAGCAACTCTCGCTCCGCCTTTAATTCACCAACTCCAGGATCAGTGAGCATAAGGGAGAGGGAGACCGATGGAGACACTGCGCCTCTGAGCGCAAGAGGGAGAGAGTTAACAACCGCCAAAGCGGATTACAGCTTGTCGCCCTGTGATCCTATCTCTGTTTCTCCTCTGGAGGGTTTTCCCTCCTGGTTCAGTTCTCCTCATAGAGGAGAGAAGCGTTTCTTTACTGACTGGTGCTTGTTGGATCGGCGCATCTCCAAAATGAGTTCTTCCTCCGCTGCGCTCTCATCACCGTGGCAACTTTTTCGCACGCCATCGCGGCACTGAAGAGCCTCTTGGTGGGGAAAGTTTAGCATGAACCCTGCTGGGATCATGGGCATACAATGAAAACTTCCATCTTCTTCTCTCTGCCTTCCAAGCCGTGAGGCAAAAATGCAGAAGAGCGTTCGTTACAACGAAGGACACGCACTGTTTCTGTCGGCGGTGGCGCGTAAAGAGGGGACTAAGCGCGGCTACCTGAGCAAGAAGACGGCGGAGAACAGCCGATGGTCAGAGAAGTTCTTCGCCCTCTACCAGAATGTATTGTTCTACTTTGAAAATGAGCAAAGCGCACGACCAGCTGGGATTTACCTGTTGGAAGGATGCACCTGCGAGCGCACACCGGCGCCAAAGATATCCACGACAGGGAAGGAGGCGCTGGAGAAACAGGTAAGGTATTGTTGTTATTTTTATTGCCTTAAATGGTTGTAAAGAATCCCAAACATTTAAGTATTTAGAGTGTAGAAATTTTAAAATTATGCATCATGTGACACATTATGTAGAATATTATCCAAACGGATGTCATTTGTGCACCTTTTTATGTCCCAGTTTTTCCTTCTGTTTAGCTTTCCACTAGTATACATATATGCATTTAAGTAAGATTACCTTCCATTTAACTTTCCACTGGTATCCTTAGATGTATTTAAGTAACATACAAGCTCTATGGGTGCTAGGGTTGTCACGATACTAAACTTTTCAACTCGAT